TTCTTTATACATTAACTTATAGGGCATTTTGAAAGGCAATGAGATTTCAGTATGAGCAAGGAAATAGGTTTGGAAAGAGAGCTGCACATACCATATAGCAACGCAGAAACACTGCCCTGCCGGTAGTAGTCATATACCATGAGCTTCTCATCCTTTGAATAGTAATATGCCCTTAGAGCAGCAACATTCTCATGCCTGATGCTACCGACAGTCTCCATCTGTTGCTCGAAGTCCCTTTTTGCCACACTTATTTCTTTCAATCTCTTGACAACCACTGTGCTTGCATCATCAAGAGCTGCCTTATATGTTGTTCCGAACATTCCCTTTCCGAGCACCTCTGCAGATGCTCTTAACAGGTCCTCCAAATCAAATGCAAGACTACATCCCTCAAAGAACACTAGCCTGTTCTTCTTATCTTGATTATCAGAGACTTTGTCTTCAATGAAATCTCTTTCTTGTTCTGTGAATTCCCCAAAAACTCTCCTCTTTTCTGCTTAGAGTAACAAAGTATCATCAAAATAGCAATTACCACAAATGCCATCACACAACCTCCTAGAACATCCCAAGTAGTGCAGGTTCACTAAGCTTTGAGGCTCTTTTCCTTGATGGTTGAGCAAATGGAGGCTGCATAGGAAGAGCTGGAGGGATGACAATTTCAGACCAAAGATTATTGCCAGCAAATGCTGAACCAGGAAATCTTTGCAGGGATTTAGGTATAGTGCCTGTGAGGTTATTGTTCGCTAAATTCAAGTGCTGCAAACTAGGCACATCGAGCAGAGTAATCTGGCCGGAAAGCGAGTTATTAGCAAGGTTCAAAGCCGTGAGTTGAGTCAAATTCGATATTGAAGAAGGGATACTTCCGTTGAATTCATTGTCAGAAAGATCAACAATTGTAAGATTTTTCCAAACTGAGAAATCAGAAGGCAAAGGGCCAGAAAATTTGTTGGATTGAAGATAAAGGGCGGTCAGCTCTTTGAGCTCAGCAAAATCAGCAGGCAATGAACCTGATATGCCATTAGAGTGAAGACTCAAAAGCTGGATTCCTGATAGGCGACCAAGAGTGTTCGGTAGGATTGGACCGCGGAGCTTCATTCCCGGCAAACGAAGAGATATAACCTGGGAACGGTCATTGTTGCAAGTGACTCCAGTCCAGGTTTGACATACAGAGGTGCTGCTGTTCCAGTTTAGAGAGTGAGAATGGTGAATATTGTGAAGGAAATCGAGTAAGGCTTGCTTATCTTCAACTGGGTCGCAACTAATGGGAGATAAAATTGCTCCCAAGGTGATGATTGCATAGAAAATGAAGAGGTTATTCATCTTCTCAGTCAACAAAAGAGATTTCATTCTTCAGAAGGTTGAAAGTCCCAGAAGCTCTGTGGAAATCTGGGTACCATCTACAGGAATTTTGTGAAGAAAAACCAATCATAATCAATCAACAGGAGCATGTAGTGCTGTCAAAAGCTACTTAGAAAGAGAGATATCTCTTAGTAATAATTATCAGCTATAAATCAAGCTTGGTCAAAAATGCCAGTTTTTAGCTGGGTTAGGTTTAGTCATTTTTTGACTTCTGTTCTTTCACCTACTCTGTTTGGCAGCAGAGAAAAACTTTTGTCCTAAATGCGGGGAGGAGGAAACAGAAAATCTAAATGAAGACTAAAAGGAAATTTCTTGTCTTAGTTTGACTTAACCCATCTTTCATCCTCCCCTAAAGAGATAACCCAGAGAATAAAAAAGGGGAAATTCTCCAAGTTCATTACTTTCCCTCTGTTATTTTCCTTCCTTTTCTCAGGAACCAAACAGAAACCCAAAGAGGAGAAGCAGAAACGTACTTACTTCCATATCAAGGTAAATGCTCTGGTTCTCTCGGCAACAGGCAAAAAGACACCGAGAAGAAAGGAGAAGAAGAGGACAGAGTCTCTCAACTCAAGCCTCTACGGTACCTCTTCTACCATGAAAACAATAAAAAGGTACTGATATGCAAATTAGGCTTCCTAAAATCCTTCAATCCTGACATGAACCGTCTGAAAAAAGAGAGATAAAAAAAAAAAAGGAAAAAGGCACCGGAGACGGTGATGATCAGAAAACTGGTAATGATGATTGATGATTGATGATTGATGATTAACAGATATGATAGGAGGAATATGAGCTGTTTTTGCTTGAGAAAGCAGCATCACATGCAAGAAACTTAATTGAGAGAAAGGTAACCCCATGAGAATTGAATATATTATAGCGCAGAAACAGGAAGATACATGTGGAGACAAAAGAGAGACAATGGAAAATAATGAATATAAAAATTATATGCATTGGCTGTTTGACATTGTAATACATACATACATACATACATATATATATATATATATATATATGGGTTTTTTAGTTATTTTTTTGAAATATAATAATGTGGGTTCTTGACATTAAGTTTCATGCATGCATATATATTAACTAAACATATATCGAGATTTAGGCTAACATAATTCTTTGTTTCTTTTCACAGTAACGAAGATCGGTGCAATTACAGGAGAAAGTAATTTCTTTGTTAACAGTTGACAAAAGGGACAATCCAACAAACATTATTTAGTAGCGTTTCTGTGTATGTACATATATATATATATATATATGTATATAGATCCAAGTAGAAAAAGATCCATGGTTATACTGTTGTCTAGCTTTGATTATCTATTCATATATAAGATCAGATTCTTTATAAGGAAAAGAAAGAACATGTCTTCTTTGTCTTATTCATCGAAAATGAAATGCTCGAGGGAATTGTAGGCAACAGGTGACCAAACAGGGTCTTAGGGTACCACCTACCAACCCAATTGATATTTATAGAGCATTTTCATTAAAATAATTAATGAACTCGTCTCAAAAAGGGATTTAATCTTGAATCGGATCTAAAATTTAATCTTTATTAATAATTATTCTTTAGGTTTAATGTTACGAATTTATCGTAACACGGGTATAATTTAATTGCAATCACTATTGAATTAGAAAGTTTCGAACTCGATAACTAAGATGATTAGGTAATGGTCAATGGTTAAGGGTGGTTAGTAGCGATTTTGGTTTCTTAATTCAATCCAAGTCGAGCTATTGAAGTATAAACGAACGAAGACACAACGACATACGGTTTTTAGTGAAAGTCAAACTCTACTTATAATAATTTACACATGAAATATATAAATAAAGATAATGTTTTTAAGTGATTGTATAAAGACACCATGTTGCATGATGTAAGGGGATCAGGCAGGTGAGTCGTCAATTAGAAAAAGAAGCCTCTAGCCATGTGACAAAGTTTGACTTTTGTTTAAATAATAAGCCTCCAATATTATCTTCGATTCGTTTCTGATTTTCAAAATGATAATGAAACGGTGTCGTTTTGGGGAAGCATCTCTTTTTGTGTAAATCCAAAGGGTGAGAATCGAAACCGGGTCTCTAATGTTTCTCTTGCTTACTTTTTGTCATTTAAACGAACGACGTCGTATTACTTTCGAATGTTTCCGACCCGCCGGTCGCAGTCCCTGTTTGTTTTCCCCATTCCATGCATACGGCGTCGTTTATTTAAAAAAAAAATGAATTTCAATCAAGCTCTGAAGTCCGCGATATATCGCCAAAAGAAAAAAAAAAAATTGTTTTAAAGAAAGAAAATATAAGTGGAAATTTTGATAACGAGAAAGAGAGGATAACTGAAAAGGAAAGAGGTGAGAATGAAAACCCTAACTCCAAAATATCGCGATAAATAAAGAACCTCTCACATCTGCAACTTCCGTTTATATCTCCATCGAGATTTTTCTCTGTAAGCTCCTCATCTCCCGCTATTTCTCTCCATTTTACTTATTTTTTGAACCATTTTTGTTTCTCTTTTTTTCCTTTATATTATATATTTTAAATATTTCTGTTCTTAGGATATTCGAAGCTCTTCTTGAATGTTTTCCGCTAAGCCAAGCTTTTAATCTAGTTCTTAGTTACTATAGTGACGCTTTCTGTTTTGTTTCCTGAGAAAACGAAGATGATTATAGGTGTAGAATGCAAAATTGGTTCTCCGGACTTGTTCGCTGGACATTCTTGTCGGAAAAATTTTACGAATGTCAAATTCTTGATTCGTGCTTTCTCAAAGCTAATTGATAATTTCGTTACTTGTTTCTGTACTGGTGATTTTTTTGTGAAAATTCGGTTAATAGATATCTCTATCTAATTTGATGCAATCGAGGTAGTAATGTTTCACGAGGTGGTTATCGAAAAACTTTATTAATACCAGCAAAAAGAATTTCGCCTGTATAATCTTCTGCATTTTCTTTCCTTTGTTTAACTTATGGCCTGTGATTGGGTAATTGATACTTTTCTTGGAATTATTCTGCTGGGAAAATGCTTGAGAACTCGTGATTCTTGAATTTCAACTGTCGTATACTTCTCTCAACGTCTTATTGCTGCTTCTTGTTTTCTGTAGGTTAACCTGAGCCCAGCAAGCATTTCCGTATAATCAGTAAGTTCAAGCTTATTCCCGTGCTTACAGCTGACTGAAAATGGAATGTGTGCTCGTAGTAAAATCTCATTCAACTTTGGTTAGAAAACATTTAATAATCTGTGATAACTAAGAAGAATGACTGTGCCTTTTTGTGAGTTACCTGGTTTGGTTTTTCTTCACAAAAAATGCCGCCTTCTCGGATTCTTTAATGAACTGAGGTATTATTGTTATTCACCTTCATTAGTGTTCAAAATGGAGCAATTTGCAATGCATTTCTGGTTGTCAATTTGTTTGATGCAGTATTATCAATGAAAAGAAAGAAAGAGAAATTAATAAAATGATAGTAAATTGATTGTTATGTTTAATCTTTTGATAGTGGTCCGAGAAAAAGATGTCTGCTGGGAATATGCTGAGAAACTAGATGGAAATAAGGTTAGATGCAAATTTTGCCTGAGAGTTTTGAATGGTGGCATTAGTAGGTTGAAGCATCATCTGTCTCGCCTTCCAAGTAAGGGTGTAAATCCATGTAGCAAAGTAAGAGATGATGTCACCGATAGGGTAAGGGCTATAATAGCGACCAAAGAGGATGTCAAAGAAACATCCAGTTCTAAAAAACAAAAGGTGGCAGAAATAAAACCTCCTGGAAATTTATCTGCAAGTAAATCTCTGATACCTTTAGAGGTAGCATCGCCGGTTTCTAAAGCTTTTCCTAGTATTTCTACAATGGCACTGTCCTCCTTAAGCAACCAAGAAAATGCAGAGAGAAGTATTGCTCTGTTCTTTTTTGAGAACAAGCTGGATTTTAGTCTTGCCCGTTCGTCATCTTACCAGGTGATGATTGATGCAGTTGCAAAGTGTGGTCCTGGTTTTGCAGCTCCTTCAGCTGAAACATTGAAGACTTCATGGTTGGAGCGGATCAAGTCTGAGGTAAGCCTACAATTGAAAGATGCTGAGAAAGAATGGGCTACCACAGGCTGTACAATAATTGCAGACACATGGACTGATAACAAATCTCGAGCTTTAATAAACTTTTTGGTTTCCTCACCCTCGAGAACGTTTTTCCACAAGTCTGTTGATGCCTCATCATACTTTAAGAATACAAAATGCCTCGCGGATCTATTCGATTCTGTGATTCAAGAATTTGGTCCGGATAATGTTGTACAAATCATTGTGGATCGTAGTTTTAATTATACTGGTATTACAAACCATATCTTGCAGAACTATGAAACCATTTTTGTATCTCCTTGTGCTTCTCAATGTCTGAATGAGATTTTGGAAGAATTCTCCAAGGTAGATTGGGTGAACAGATGTTTCTTACAAGCACAGACCATATCCAAATTTATATACAATAATGCATTGATGCTTGATCTAATGAAGAAGTTCACCGGAGGGCAGGACTCATTAGAACTGGTATCACAAAGTCTGTTTCCAACTTTCTAACGTTGCAATCAATCTTGAAGCATAGGACAAGGTTAAAACACATGTTCAATAGCCCTGAATATGCTACAAATTCATCATATGCAAGTAAACCACAGAGCATATCTTGCATCACTATTGTTGAAGACAATGATTTCTGGAGGGCAGTTGAAGAGTGTGTGGCCATATCTGAGCTTTTCTGAAAGTATTGCGGGAAGTATCTGGGGGGAAACCTGCTGTGGGCTCTATATATGAGTTAATGACCAAGGCCAAGGAGTCCATAAGGACATACTATATAATGGATGAAAACAAGTGTAGCACATTTTTAGACACTGTTAAAAGGAAGTCAGAGGACCAACTTGAATCTCCTCTACATGCAGCAGCGGCTTTTTTGAACCCTAATATCCAATATAATCCAGAAATAAAACTTCCTTCGCGTATAAAGGAAGATTTTTTCAAGGTTTTGGAGAAATTACTCCCAACACCTGAGTTAAGGCGTGATATCACCAATCAAATTTTCACTTTCACAAGAGCAAAGGGAATGTTCGGTTGTAATCTAGCAATGGAAGCACGGGATACAGTGCCACCAGGTATTTATACTGCTAAGTATTATATTTAATGTTTATCTGTTGGAAGCAAATTTGCATATTAGATAAAGAGACAATCATCTCTCAGTTTCTGACATATCACATTGTTAGCCTGTGGATATATCTAGTGCATCCAGAAAAAGCTTTTACTTTTTTGAGATCTATTTTTGGATCCTTAAAACTTGGGGTATATCCATCAATTTTGGAGGAGTTAGGAAGATCTCTCAATCATCCTAAATTGGGTTAACCATGAAAATTTGTATTCTAAAAGCAAGCAACATTAAATTTTCCCTTATTATATGTTTGAATCAGAATGTCATATGTTTTTCGTTAATCAAGTTTTGAGATCTTTATTAAATGTCCTTTATTATTCTTTTCCTTGAAGATGGTAGGTTAGCATCTTAATTATTCTCTGGAGTCTTCAGACACACTTCTTTTTTGTTGGAGTAACTCCTCCTTGGAGCTCAGCTACCCATTCACACCCCATCCCCAAATACACACATGCCACTAGTAATTTTCATGCATCTTTACCCGAGAATGCTGCTCCTGGTTTGTTTTGGGCTGCCACTTGATAAAAATTAACTTTAGTGAGCTACTGAACAATCCTGCTCTTTTCAATGTTTCGTTTTCTGCGTAATGTATGGTTCTTTTCACTAATTGCAGTGACAGTTCTAGAATCCTAGGCAATATTTGGAACAAATGCAAAAAATATATTGAATTTATTTGCGAATTCACGTTATTTCAGCTAAGAGAGAATGTAAATTCTGTAAAAGAATAAATTCATATGGAATTTGGAGTATATTGTTGCTAATTCTATGTGAAATTCTATATGAGGTCAATTTTATCATTTTCAAATATGTTTAGTTTTTGAATGCACTCAGATGTTTTCTAATAGCTACTCAGGTTCATGTATTAGAAAGTATTACAAGTCTGTTGTCTGTGCACTTTGTGGAGTTTCCTGACTAAATGCTGTTACAATCTAGGGCTCTGGTGGGAGCAATTTGGTGACTCTGCACCGGTATTGCAACGTGTTGCAATTAGAATATTGAGTCAAGTGTGCAGCGGTTTTACTTTTGAGAGGCACTGGAACACTTTTCAACAAATTCACTCTGAAAAACGCAACAAGATCGATAAGGAAATACTGAATGACCTTGTATATATCAATTACAACCTTAGGTTAGCGAGACAAATGAAAACAAAACCTATAGAAGCCGACCCCATTCAACTTGACGAGATTGATATGACTTCGGAGTGGGTAGAGGAGAGCGAAAACCCTGGCCCGACTCAATGGCTTGATCGGTTTGGCTCTGCATTGGATGGAAGTGACTTGAATACAAGACAGTTCAATGCTGCCATATTTGGTGCAACTGACCATATCTTTGGCTTGTGATTTTGCAGGTACCATCAACTGATTTCTTTTTTGGTAATCAGTATATACATACATGATTTGTTTCTCCATGTGTAGTTCTCTTTGTTGATCTTAGTAATGTGAAAGTAGGTTTGCAGCAATGTTGTAAAGTAGTTTCAGGAAAATAGTGTCAAGCATAGTTGTACAAAAATGATGTAAACTAGTGTAGTACAAGTGATGTATCTAGAGAATGAAGTTTGATTTTAGATAAAAATTTCTTCTTTTTCTTCTGATACAATCTGTTTAAATGTTTGCATTTCTGGGAATTATGAAGAACCAGGAGACGAAAATTCGGAAAAATATTATTCTGGATTATCGTGTAATCGTATATCAAAGAATTTGATTTCAGTTCAATGATTAAAATTAAATTTGCAGTTCGATCAGAACTTAATATTTTTTTTAATTAAAAAAAAATTAAATTAAAATTTAATTATCATGAAATATAAAAATTAAAATTTAGTTATATTTAGTTATTTTTAATAATTTTTAATTTTTTGTTTTATAAAATTATTTTAGTTTATGATTTTTTTATGTAATTATAAACTTTTAATTAAAAACTATATAATTTTTTTCTATTTTATTTATATAGACATAAAAAATTATAACTAAATAAAAATAATTATTTTATATTTCTTAAACCAAGTGTAAAATATTTATATAATATTTTAATTTTTTTAGTTTCTAACCATAATTCATGTTACCCATAAACATTAATAATTTTTAATCAGATTTAAAAGAGAAATTTTTTTTTTTGGTATTTATAAAAATGTAAAAATATTAAGTTTTAAAAATAATTATATCGATTTAAAAATTAAATTTCAACGAAAAATAATTCAATTGTAATTTATACAGTAAATTATTAATTTAACAAATATGTTCAATCCAAACTGAAAAAGCAGAAAAAAAAAAGGAATCGTCATCGCGTGTAGCGCACTATTCTAAACCGGTGTGGAATAGGACAAGACTTCCAAACAAACACCATCCCATTCTCGACGCGTTCTCTCTTAGGAAACAGTCTCCAACAAGGGCTTTCTTCTGAGAGTTTACATACCTGGATTCTCTCCGCTCTCCTTGTTGCTCCAACACATCTTGACTTCGCTCTCTGCTTAGATAATGGACTACGATTTCAGGAACAGAGCCGGACCTCCGTATGCAGCACAAGTTCCGATGTACGGCCAGGACACGTCATCGCCGACGCCGGCGACAAGCCACCCGATGTACGGATCGTCTCTATACCCGAGGATCGGTCAACCAGGTCACAGCCATGTTATGGTCCAGCCCCCATCGCGGACCTCCTCGTATCACCAGGCCTCGTCTTCTTCCTCCTCTTCTTCTGGTGAGTCAAAATCTCCTCCATGGTAATTGGAAGAAAGTAGAATTTTGTGCCCAGTTGGTTTTGTATTGCTTATTGGTTGATAAAACGCCAAGTTCTTTGCAAAGCGAAGTTTCGTGCCATCGTTTAATTTTGTTTCCTACAGACATCATTCTACTTGAAGTTTTAAAGTTTCTAGGTTTAGAGATGTGATACAATTTTCTATTTGATGTTACAATTATGATCGATGTGAATTTTGTTTCCTCCTTGCTTACATGATGAGTGCTCTGGTTGATATTTCTGCAGCTGGATTGGGCATTAAGGTGGTTTTGAAACCAGAGTATCGGATCACTCCTCCGGTATGATTTGAGTAATTAGATTGTCGGATTTCTAGCTTTGATATGGAGAATTATATACTAGTTGTTGTTTTGCAAATTATCATTATTATTATTATTATTTATTTATTTATTTATTATGGTATTCAATCTTTTCTTGAGTAGTAAAGCAGGTAATCAGGCCTTGTATGAGATTTTCAGGCCTATTTTTGCAGGAAAAGAAGCGATAATTTTCCTTTTGGTTCTGTTTTAGTTTATGTTGTTTATTAGGTTTGTGCTTATTACCGCTTTGCACTTATAAAGGCTTGCCATTATGCAGCCTCAGTTGTCACCGCTAGTGGGAGATATCCCGCGTAGCAGCTTCGAGTTTGATTTTGACTTTGAAAGAAGAATCCTGGCTGAGGCAGAGAAAGAAAACCAGAATTGGAGTAAACTTGGGTTGGAAAATCTTCCATCTAAAGCCCCGGAATCAACATCTTCAGTGGTATGTTTTTCCAGTTCCTGTCTAAAACAATTCTCTGTGGACCATTGCGGCTTGTGATATTGACATTTTCTTTATGTTCACATGATAAATTTTGCTCAAGTTGTTTCATGATGCTCTTGTTTTGGTGATATTATAATGATTAGTTACCACTTCATTATAAGAACAATGTCTTTGCACTGGATATCTTCACGAAAGAAGCTCTCAAACATCAATTTCTGACGTGGGTTGTGTTGTAAATGCAGGGTTCAAATCCTGTTGTGAAAAAGTACATTGCCTCAGGACTCAATGCAGAAGCTGTTTCCATAGCAGTTGGAACCTACGGAGACAATCCAGCAAAGGTACATTATATTGATTTCTAAGACTAGTATCTGATGGTTGGCTGATTGATATTGTAATTAATTATGGAACCTGGGTAGTACTTGTTGGTATTTGTTTACAAACTGTCGTTTAAAAAATCTGGGCTGTCAAGAAATTGTCGCCTCTACTTCAAAATTTCTCCTGAACTTGTCCTAATATGAACTAGAGATAGAATGACAGCAGCATGGTTGTTCTTCCTCCTCTTCCCTACCCCCAACTAAAGAGAAGCAATTTTTTTGGATGTCAGATGAGATAAACCTTGAATTAAAGTAAGAATGAATCTTAGTAGACCTACACTTTTATGTCCTTGAAAATTGATTGCTAGATACTTTCACATTTATCACTGACAATGTAAGGTATGTATTAGAGTATACAAGGTAAGTAGTTTTGTAAATAAAAGGGCTGTGATTTTTATTTCTGTAAAGTTGGGGGTTATTTTGTAAATACACATTAGTTCCATGTATAAATACCCTCAGTTAAGGAGAAGAAAGTATCTTCTGTTTTTCCAGATTCTTCCACTCTCTCTTCTTCCTCACTTTCTTCCACATAATAACTCAACTCACACACTAGATCTGTCTCAGGTTTACTAATCTAGTTGTTTTCTTTATCAACTATGTACTTTGATGAACGTTAGAATGTAATAGTATGCGTTAATGATCTTTGTGTTCTTATGTAGTTCAGTTAAGTAGTATACCTTCTTTGGCTATCTTCAGGTTCAAGAGTTTGTCAATGCCTATACTCTTCTACGAGAAATGGGATTTTCATCTAGCAATGTCTCCGAGGCCTTGTTAATGTTTGATAATGATACGGACAAGGCGCTGGCGCATTTCCTCAACAGCCCTTCTTAAGAAAACTGGTAATTTGTTAGTTAAAATCGAACATCAATCCTTTGGTTTGATTCTTATTGTAAAGAGATAGGCCCCTTTTAGCTTGTTTTTTCGGCCTTTGTAACAAATTGCACCGTGTTACTACCATGTACCAGAGTCCAGAATGATATGACAGATATATGTTTCAATTTAGTTCAAATGCAGCACTACGTGATGCCTGCTACTCTTTCAACCTTAAGTATAATCGGCCAACATGGCGTGCCCAAGTCGATGAAAACAGTCATGGATTTGCTGCTGTTTATATGGATTATGAATTGTATAATCGAAAATTCATATTGACATTTGCTTTCAACTTTACTTTTTCTGGCATTTGTATCTTGGTATGTTTATTATAAGCAGAAAATGGCTGTTTCGATTATAAACTGATGCATTTTTCATAAGGTAGCTAAATGTTGGATGTGATTCAACTGCTTGCAAAAATCTGCGATTGCATCGGTATAACAAGCAAGATGAACTACTGTCGTTTTATCGAAATCAAGATATTCCTTGATCTGTTTCCACCTCTCATAAATTTTTTAACTTGTTATAATATAAAGAAAAATTTGGTTTTTGTTAAACTTTCTGGAATAATTAAATATAATTAAGGGTAATTACAGTAAAAAAAGGTTAAATTACAAGATATTGTACTATAATTAATTGTCTTACACGATGCAAAATTAAGATGTCCAAAATTCAAATATCACTGCTTACAGAGTGTTCATATCATGTCAGTCAGACTTGTTCTCTAGCTCTGTACAAGACAATTAGGCAATTTGTTGAATACAAATGGCAAAACTCCCAACAATTTCAATCCAACAAATGGTCTTGAGGGGTTAATACGTCTCATCATAGGTCATGGAGCTAAATCTGGTGATCAATTCAGTAAAATATAACATCTTCCTATTTCTGTAAATGAAAGAATAAATCATGTGGATGTTACATGACACTACAAAGAAATCCGGAACGCAAAGAGGGCAAGAACACTGGTACAGTTTGAGTTAATGTAAATATAATTTGTATCGTTGCACTTGACATACTTTTGTTTGGATTCCAACTCTCTTCTGTCAGCAGTTTTTCAGGATATTTGCAAAAAATAACCTATCGGGAGTGACAGGGTGGCTCGGAGAATTGACCGGTGCTTCCTCCCCTTAATCTCATTCAACTGCATCGTAAGCTACCAACATCTAATCTCATGTCAAATGTATCTGTGATGCATCACTCTCCAAGGATCTTGGAGTAAACCGTTACACCCCCGAACAAATAGTTTCTGAAAAACGAAAAAAAGAACGTATCACGAATAAAAGGGAAAGATCTAATAAATACTCATTTGGTATATGTTTCTCCTAAGATTGTTTTGGTTGAGCAAGCTGCTCTTTGAAGGCCATCCTACTGTGTGTTGACTAAATTACAGGTCATTTTTTAAGAAATGGGTTATTCACTAAAAAGTCACTCGCTCTAAACTCGTTTTGTTCAATTCCTATTCAGTTCTCACTTTATTTTCAGCGCTTTAAATTAATTGTAATATGTAGAATTAAACCATAATTTTCATATTTGAACTATCCTACTCTCGTGCTTTTACATTATTCTTGCAGAAAGGATTTTCAATTGAAAACCTACTTCTCAGGGAATTCAAGTTAAGAGCTGAAGCAGTTTAAAAATGAGAACTTGATATATTCTTTATATCAAAATTATTTTAACAATTAAACATGATAAGAATTGAATAAAAAACCTTAATGTGTATTTTGCTTGAAATGTTATATTAACAGTGAGATGTGTGCGTGTTTGTGTGCTTATTGGTGTATGTTCATGTGTGTGTGTGAGAGAGAGAGAGAGACCTGATGACCAGGATGAACAGCAGAATTTTCCTTCGTCCACATGTTTTACATCAACCCCAATAAACCAGGATCCAGCACTAACATCATCATGGGCATAAGTGCGAAGGATAGATCTGCAAATTCAACCACTCAGGCGCTGAACCATGCTTCGTGCAGATACAGGGCAAAATCAGGTAGTACAGCAAGGAAGTTACCTGTTTATTGATAAATATTTAGCCAAGGCTCGTGATATGACATACATCTCACCAGAAGCATGGCGAAAGTATCTGTTGGACACAAAAAACTTCACTTTTAAAACTGTGAAGCGGAAATATGAAATAGACCAAAATTGTTTCATTGAGTCTAAAAATGCATAACCAATTCACATTAGAAAGTACTGGCATTTTTAACTAGCAACAGTTGGAACAAGGCTTACGATTTTTTATCCCCAAATTTCCACCATTCTGGTTCATACCATTTGTGGTTCCTGCCAAAATATTCAGAAGTATGATGGTAAAATACAAAAGCTTTAAAAACAAGAGTAAATTCTAATAATCAAATCTTTAAAGAGAGAGAGTCAATCTCACGGTTCTGAGAAAACTTCGCCGGATTTCATACATCCAATATAAGCACGAGGACTACTCAAATGAGCTGAAAGAGTTGCTCCCAAGGCATCTGTAGAAGACCAAATTATTAATGCCTTGCACAAAGCAAAGAAGTAAATAAATCAGAAAGAAATTATTAATGAGAAACACAATACAGATGAAATTTGTGCAATTGTTTGTTCCCAATGTTTATTGAAGGTAGCCTGAAATTTATGTCCGAGGAGAAAATTATTGGGTACAGCATTCTAGGGAGTCCTCAAATTTCTCTTCTTTTCCCTCTAGGTACAAATTTATATTTACGATCTTTTTTTTCGTTGAGAAAATTTATATCAAATTGTAGAACACCTGGACACTTTTGAAAAGTCGTGACTTTAAATCAATTTATTTCCAGCTCAGAAGAATCATACAAAATTTGACGAAGATGGCGTACCATCTTATGTAACGCACACGATAGCATTTTAGTATTTCTTGATACTTTGTGTCTCTATAAGTGTTATGTTCTATTCCATTCACTTTTACCTTAAATGAATTACTCAACAAAAATATATACTTGATGCAGAGTGGCAAAGTCAAATTCGTTAATCTCTTATACAGAAATTACTTGTATTGAAATGAACAAGTAGTCAATGAATAGTGCGCAATGTAAAAGGATTGATATTTTTCATTCAAAAGAAATTTGCAGAGTTGACAAGAAAATCAAGCAGAAGCCAGGTTTATATATTAGTCCATCATTTATGGTACTGACCAATATTGACAAAAATATTATCGTTGACCTTTGCATAAAACTCTGCATCCCATTTATCTGCAGCATGAGCGAAAAATAGTTTTGCCTTCTCTGGGAGCTTCTCGGGTGCCTCTATTTGGTTATCCTGTCAGCACACAAGTAGATGAATGAGCTCCTAATTAATTAAGATTGATGTAGATATGCTTTCAAAAGATATCTGCAGCGAAATGAGCATAAGAACCAAAGATTCACATACAAGGATGATGAAATCATTAGTTCGCTTATTTTCATTGTCAATCTTCCTGTCAAAGCTGTCCCCGCGGTTTGCACTATATGAAAACAATTATCATCATATTAGCATGCCAACCAGTGCTTTCAAGGATAAAAACAATTAACAGAGCATAAAATCAAACCTTCTTCCAATAACAAATCGTGCAATTACACCCTTCTCATCCTCCAATTTTTTCAATGCTGCATCTGCAAACATCAAGATTCTTCTTTCAAATTCCAAACACAAGCGAGGAAGATGACATTGCCATGGAGATAATATTGTTATAAGAGAATCCTTCGTGTGCACACATAAAGACACAAATTGTCTATATTCATGTTTAATCAAAATTTAACAATTAGTAATTCAATAAGACAGATAATCTCATTGTTGGTTAAACCAATGATGCAGATCTCATTAAACAATTAAAGAGAGGGAGCATAAAGAGCTCTACCCGTTCCCATCCATGCCTTACGAATTACATCTCTTTTGTTCTCATGGCCAAACCTTGTTAGTATTCCTATCACTACTAGCAGTCTTTTCTTTGTTCCATCGGCACCTGTTGAGTGCTTTGAAGTATAACCCTCCTTCCTGGCTGCACTCAACTCCACCTCAAGGGCTGATAATTTCTTCTGCTGTTCCCTGTTAATAAATTAATACCTCAGGAAACCCATGAGAAAATTTGAGATAACAATGAAATCCTCATTAGCACCTATAGCAGCTAAGAATTAATAAAATCATGACAAGATCAGTATGCAAACACATAAGTATGCCAAAAAACAACTTTACCTGCAAGCTATGATTTTCAATGTATCATCCACAGATATTGCAGATTTCCCCTAAAAGCAAAAACGATTGTGAATTTCCCGACTTTTGAACCAAAATATGATTAAAATAACCAAGAAGATCAAGAGAACACGATACATGTTTGTTAACATATATGGGAGCATTACCAATCATACTCCCCCATATCAACCATTTATTCAAGCAGCAAGATTTTCAGGACATCCTTCAGATCCCCATCTAGTCTACTGGTAAGCTATTACTATGTAAGATGGTTACAGTAAGTAACAGACCAACTACATAAACCATTGCACTCATGAAATTCATCAAAACAAACCATTTTTAGGGAGAAGGAGACACAATTAACCGATACGAAATGTGAACATAAAGTAAACAGTATATGCACTGAAGTACCTCAATCAACATAGCCTAACGATCATATACACGCAGAAAACACTCACCTGCCCAGTTATCCTATCAAGCTCGTTTATCAAATGAACCCGATTCTGTGCTTCGAACCATAACCTATCTCCCAAAATCAGGAAAATACAGAATGTGAGATGCGAGCGCGCGTGTGTGTATATACATCTCATATACATATATAGACACACATAAGTGTACGATTCGGAGTTGAATGACACAGGGAGAATGAGAATTGGGGCACAAACCGGCCAGCCACGTAGACGGAAGCGAAAGCGGCGAACATGGAGAGTAAAAGCGACAAGATTCTCATACTCGACCCTCTACTATTCGATCCCTTCCTCGGCATTTTATTCTTCCTAATTCAATTTCTCTAGCTTCCTTCTTCTGTTTCTCCTTTCACTCTCCACTTCAGATTTACTCTCTACCGACCCAGAAACGTCGAGAATTGGATTTGCAGGGGAGTTTGGATCTTCAACAACCCACCCGCCTCTTGCTAGATCAACATTCAAGCTCTAATTTGATCTGCTTCGAACAAAGATCGACTCGCTGATTTCCTCCCTCTTGACTCCGAATTAAAACAAAAACACAGAGGAAAATTTGATCGAGCGTTGGTATCAGCAAGAGTTTGGTCCTTCGGGTTTCAATCCCATTTCTTCAAGTAACGACTTCTCTCACTTTACATTTTTTTTTTCTTTTTTAATTTAAATTATTATTTAATTTTCATTTTAAATTATTTATTCATAAAAAATATATAAATTTTGAAAGCAAAATAATTTAAAAATTATTTTATTTAATTATATACATTTATTATCTTATGATATAATTTCAAATTAAAATTTTCGTGTATATTTATAATTCCCAAATTCCTCAAATTGGTCATAATTTATATATAATATGTTTTTTTTTATTGTATAATTAAATTATATTTATTCACATATTTGTACCATAATCATGAATTATTTATTTCATGTTTATCATAAATATATTTATATACTAATACACGGTAATGTAAAAATTTAATTTTTTTTTTAAAAAACACCCATTTATTTTTTAACGTTTAATTAAATTAAATTATTTTAAGAAAATTTAAAATAAAATTAAATAAATATTTTTTATATATATAAAAAAAGAATTTCGCTATCATAATTAAATTCAATGATGATAATGCAATAACTTACTCATAACGTATTATTAGTATCGATGTATTTTTTCGTTCCTTTTGAAAAAGAAAATTTTTTTAATCATAATTTAATTGTAAAGTATTACGATTTTAACAAAAAAAAACATATTTTATGTTAATTAATTTTTTTAATTAATTAGAGTAATCACAATTTAATAACAACTAATTAAACTTTTTATTGTTTAGAAGAAGAAAATTCAATGATTAAGAAATGTGGAAAATTGAAGTGCTTTTTTCTTTGTTAAATATAAGAGTTTGTAGATGTGAAAATATTATAAAATGAAGAATGACACACACACACACACACATATATATATATATATATATATGCTGATTCCATTGTACATATATATATATATGTGTGTGTGTAGTCTACTTATAGAAAAGAAGCCAAATAAATAAATAAATAAATAATTCGCGCAATACTAAAATATTTTTTCTTTCTTCATCTTATTATTTTTTAAATAGAGAATCTAACAGGCTACTGAGATTGACTTTTTGAGGAAAGAAAGAGGGACTGAGAGAGAGATATATATATATATATATATGTGTGTGTGTGTGTGTGTATATGTATATATATATATATATATATATATATATATATATGAGATAGAAATTTTTTAATAAATCGTTAGGTGAAACAGTAAATGGGTATCTAAAATCTACAAGAGCTGTAATTCCTGGTACGCAATAGAAAAATGATGTCTTGTATGTGTGTATATGTTTGTGCGTGTGTATGCGTACGTGTGTGTGTGTGTGTGTGTGTGTGTGTGTGTATGTATTTATTTTCCGATATGAAATCAATACGTGGTTCTAATGTAGTAGTCACGTTCCGGAAAAGCTTCAAAGGCTTAGAGCCAAAACAGGTGGACCGATCATCCACGTAATAGAGAGAACTTGGTACGACAGGACAAATTGAGAAGCGACGTGAGCCATGACGACATCTTATTTAATTTATTCACGTTCAATTCGTCCGCTTCATCGTACTCGGCCTCGCCCTGTCGTTTATAAAGCATCTAATCAATCCATGTCAACTACCATCACTACATTCCCACGTAGCTCTGCTCTGCATCTCTGGTCTGTATCTTGAACAGAGAGACGCAGAGAAAATGGAGTATAAATAGATGGGTCTCTCCCATTTCTGCGCGTCTTTCATGGGTTCATCTCAAAATGTGTAACTGGTTCGAGTAATTATAAGAGTACGTGTGTTCGATGCTTTGTTTGTTTCCCGAGAAAGAGAGGGATTTTTTGTGGGTGGTTTGCGTTTTGTTTTTCTTTAAATGGTCGTTTTCGTTTCATAGTTTTTTTTTTTAAAGAACGTATGTTGTAATTGAGTATTGACTTGTCAAGTTGAGAATTTTCTTCTGGCTTCTGCTTCTTTTTTTTTTTTAATTTGTTTTTAAACTTTGTGTGATGTCCTTTTTTCCCCTTCTGCAACGATGGAATGTTTTCTTCTTGTCGTTTCTGCTTTTTTTTTTTTGGCACGATGCCAACCAACATTGGCCTTGTACTTCCCTAAATGGATTCTTCTGCTTTTTCCGATTTTATTTAATTGAATGAAATGAGCAGTTGGTGACCCAATTCTCAGTTTGTTATCTCAATCTCTCCAGCTCTTCTTTTTTGTTAGTTTAGTCTTGTTTTCCAACTGTTCGAGAGAAGATCTACTTGAGGATTTTGGCCAATCAAGGTATGTGCTCAAGTTTTAGACAGCTTTGGGACGAATGCTCTGTATACATTTCTCACTCGCATATATTAACTCTTGTTTTTGGGTGTATAAGAACTGAAACTTATAGGCTGATTGATATTCTTGTTTCCACATGGTTCTCTATCTGATAGGAAATTTATATTTTTTTCAATATGCAGTACTACATGGTTTGAGGTGCAAGAAAAAAGGAAAATAATGGAGGGTTTGTGGTCCATTTTCTGTGGAGACTCTGGTTGTTCATATAGTGGTAGGAAGCCGTGCAGTTCGGCTTCTGTATTCTTTACTCATCCATCTTCATGTGTTAATCATGCGTTGATTATTTGTTTTGATTTTCTGCTCCTAGTCCTGCTTTTATTAAGCATGGTTAAAAAGTCATCAACAATAATATTACATGTTCCTGCCCGATTAGACCGCCTTCTGGCTTTGCAGATTGTTTCTACTATCCTTAATGGTCTTCTTGGATTAGCCTACTTATGCTTAGGAATTTTTGTTTTAGAGGAGAGGTTGAGAAAAACTCAGAGTGTTTTGCCATTGAATCGGTGGTTGCTACTGCTTTTCCAAGGATTCACATGGTTGTTAGTTGCTCTAACTGTCAGCCTTAGAGGAACGAAACTTCAGAGAACACCATTGCGGCTACTGTCAATTCTTGCCTTCTTGTATGCAGGAGTTGTCTGCACTCTGTCTCTCTTTGCTGTTGTCCTAGATAAACATATGTCGATTAAGATAGTGTTAGATGTTGTGTCGTTACCCGGGGCAATACTGTTGATTCTATGTGCTTATAAGGGGTATAAGTATGAAGAGATTGATGAAGTTCTTGGAGAAAGAGACCTGTACACTCCCTTGAATGGCAAGTCTAATGACATCAAGGAAAACGATGCTATTTGCCAAAGAGTTACTCCATTTTCCGAAGCTGGGTTTTTTAATAAAGTTTCTTTCTGGTGGTTGAATCCATTGATGAAGATGGGAAAACAGAAAACTCTAGAGGAAGAAGATATTCCCAGGTTGAGGGAAGCAGACAATGCTGAGATGTGTCATTTGTTGTTCATGGAAAAGTTAAACAAACAAAAACAAGCAGAACCATCTTCCCAACCATCAATATTGAAGACAATCATACTATGTCATTGGAGAGAGATTTTAATTTCTGGGTTTTTTGCTTTGGTAAAGATCCTAACTGTCTCGGCTGGTCCTTTGTTTCTTAATGCCTTTATTTTGGCTACAGAGGGACATGAAAGTTTCAAATATGAAGGTTACATTTTGGTAGTAGCACTTCTTTTCTCCAAGTCCTTAGAATCCTTATCACAAAGACAGTGGTACTTTCGGAGTAGGCTAATTGGTTTGAAAGTGAGGTCTTTGCTCACGGCAGCCATTTACAAGAAGCAGCTGAGTTTATCAAATGCCGGTAGGCTGATGCACTCGAGTGGTGAAATAATGAATTATGTCACAGTTGATGCTTACAGGATTGGAGAGTTTCCTTTCTGGTTCCATCAGACATGGACAACAAGCCTCCAGCTATGCATAGCACTAGTTATCCTCTTTCGTGCAGTGGGAGTAGCAACTTTCGCTGCCTTGGTGGTTATAATCCTCACAGTTCTATGCAATACTCCTCTTGCAAAGTTGCAGCATAAGTTTCAAACTAGCCTTATGGTTGCACAAGATGAGAGACTGAAGGCTAGTACAGAGGCTCTTGTGAGTATGAAGGTGTTGAAATTGTATGCATGGGAAACACATTTCAAGAATGTTATAGAATCTTTAAGGAAGGTGGAGTACAAATGGTTATCAGCGGTGCAGTTGAGGAAAGCTTATAACGGTTTCCTGTTCTGGTCATCCCCGGTTTTGGTCTCTGCAGCTACATTTGGAGCGTGTTACTTCTTAAATATCCCTCTATATGCTAGTAATGTTTTCACTTTCGTGGCAACATTGCGTCTAGTTCAGGATCCCGTTAGAGCTATACCTGATGTTATTGGAGTGGTGATTCAAGCAAATGTTGCATTTGCACGGATTGTCAAATTTCTTGAGGCACCAGAACTTCGGAGTTCAACTGTTCGGCAAAAGCACAACTTGGAGAGCACCAACCGTGCAATTTTTGTAAGATCTGCCAGTTTTTCATGGGAAGAGAATTCTTCAAAGCCAACACTTGAAGGCATAAGTTTAGAGGTTAGGCCTGGAGAAAAAGTGGCAATATGTGGAGAAGTTGGTTCAGGCAAATCAACCCTTTTAGCAGCAATTCTTGGAGAAGTTCCAAATATACACGGAACTGTAAGTAATTAACTCTCTTTTCAGGCCCCTCCATTTTCTTAATTATTCTATATCTAAATGTTGAAGAGCTCTTTCATACCTTACCTGTAAACTGCTCCTTTTCTTTTTCAAATTTACAGATTCAGGTTTATGGGAAAATTGCTTACGTTTCTCAAACAGCATGGATTCAGACAGGAACTATACAAGAAAACATTCTATTTGGGTCTGCTATGGATAGAAAAAGATACCAAGAAACAATTGAGAGATGTTCATTGGTAAAGGATCTGGAGTTGTTTCCTTATGGTGATCAGACTGAGATTGGTGAAAGAGGAGTTAATTTGAGTGGTGGGCAGAAGCAGCGAATTCAGCTTGCTCGTGCTCTCTATCAGGACGCTGATATCTATCTCTTGGATGATCCTTTTAGTGCTGTTGATGCCCATACAGCAACAAGTTTATTTAATGTAAATGCGTGCTTTATTAACCTTCTGATTACTTTCGTTGTCATCCTTCAGAGAAAACTGACATAAATCTTCACAGGAATATGTTATGGAAGCACTTTCTAGGAAGGCAGTGTTACTTGTGACCCACCAAGTAGATTTCTTGCCTGCATTTGATTCTGTTTTGGTCAGTATACTCTGCTTCAGAAACTTCCTAACTGTTCTTTATTCTTCTTTTTCTTTACCTACATTGGACACCCATATCTATTTTATAACCTCTTTTTAACTGTCAATAACAATATAATCTTTAAAAATTTTCAAGTTTTATTTTTGTTATGTTTACAGTTGATGTCAGATGGAAGAATCCTTCAAGCTGCACCTTATCATCAGTTACTGGCTACAAGCCAAGAATTTCAAAAACTTGTCAATGCACACAAAGAAACAGCTGGTTCTGAAAGAGTTGCTGAGGTTAGCAAGACCCAGAAACATGAAACATGTGCTAGGGAAATCAAGAGGACTTATGTAGAGAATAAATTCAAAACATCCAAAGGTGAGCAATTGATCAAGAGAGAAGAGCGAGAGATAGGAGACAGTGGGATTAAGCCATTTAGACAGTATCTTGGTCAGGACAAAGGGTTTTTGTTCCTATCCATTGCTTGTCTGGCTCATATTATGTTTGTGAGTTGTCAGATAGCACAGAACTCGTGGATGGCAGCTAATGTTGACAATCCTCATGTCAGCACACTACGTCTCGTGGTCGTTTATCTGTTGATTGGAGTTAGCTCAACAGTTGTTTTGCTAATTAGATCTCTTTTTATTGTCATTATGGGTATGAGATCATCAAAATCTTTATTTTCACAGCTGCTAAACTCTCTTTTCCGAGCTCCAATGTCTTTCTATGACTCCACACCTCTAGGAAGAATACTTAGTAGGGTAAGCAGCACAATTGATCAAGTACTGATGCAAAATTTAAATTAACCATTAATTGGAAGTAGTCTTTCTTAATCTAGTTCTTTTGTTCTTCTTCAGGTGTCTTCTGATCTTAGCATAGTCGATCTTGATGTGCCATTCACTTTAATGTTTGCTCTTGTGGCTACCATAAACGCTTACTCTAATCTTGGAGTACTGGGGTTTGTCACTTGGCAAGTCCTGTTCATCTCCATTCCAATGATCTATTTGGCACTTCGCTTACAGGTATGGTTATCTAGATTCTTTCTGTCGATACTAACAAGATATTTTAGGCCTTCCTGTGCTGATATTTTGAACTTGGGTTGTTGCTTATATAAATATATTAGATAATGAGACTGCTGGCATTAGGATCAGTTGCTTATATAAATATATCAACCCAGTAAGTGTAAATTGCATTACAGAATACTTGTATTATTTATCTGCAGAGGTATTATTACGCGACAGCGAAGGAGTTGATGCGGATAAATGGCACAACCAAGTCGCTGGTGGCAAATCATCTAGCTGAATCTATAGCTGGAGCCATGACAATTAGAGCTTTCGAGGAGGAAGAGCGATTCTTTGCAAAGAATCTTGACCTCATTGACACTAATGCTAGTCCTTTCTTCCACAGTTTTGCAGCCAATGAATGGTTGATACAAAGACTAGAAACCATCAATGCCATTGTTCTTTCCTCTGCAGCATTCTGCATGGTCTTACTCCCTCCTGGAACTTTTAGCTCTGGTGGGTATCTAACAAACTTGCTCAATGACTTGATTCAATTGTAGTAATTTAGCTACTGCTTATCCAAAATGCTATAAGAATTGGCTTATTCCATTGGCAGGATTTATTGGAATGGCTTTTTCCTACGGTCTTTCCTTAAATGTCTCCCTTGTATTTTCGATTCAAAACCAATGCACTCTAGCAAATTACATCATCTCAGTTGAAAGACTAAACCAATACATGCATATACCAAGTGAAGCACCTGAAGTTATAGAAGAGAACCGGCCTCCAAGCAACTGGCCAGCTGTTGGGAAAGTGGAGATATCCAATTTACAGGTACATTTTCTTTTGTTACCCTTCAATCTAATGTTTGAGTACTATGCTGAGGTAAGAATGGATTGCATAACAGATCAGATATCGGCCTGAAGCGCCACTGGTTCTTCGAGGAATAAGCTGCACCATCCAAGGAGGACATAAAATTGGTATTGTTGGCAGAACAGGCAGCGGAAAAACCACTCTCATCGGTGCTTTGTTTCGTCTGGTGGAACCAGCTGGAGGAAAGATTGTGGTAGATGACATTGACATCTCTAGAATTGGACTTCAAGATTTGAGATCAAGATTTGGGATTATTCCTCAGGATCCTACTCTCTTTAATGGGACTGTTAGATATAATCTAGATCCTTTATCTCAACATACAGACCAAGAAATATGGGAGGTAATGTTTCAACATTTCATTTCCTTTGCATCTGACTGCTGTTATATGCTGAAATTTTTCTATGCCCTCATTTAAGTGCTTGAACATTTACTACTTGCAAGATAGAAAATGCTGAACATTTCCTTGTTCTTGTGATCATTAAGGTACTGAGGAAGTGTCAGCTTGGAGAGACTGTCCAAGAAAAAGAAGGATTGGATTCTTTAGGTAAGATATTATGAACTAACGTATAATTTATTATGCTGTAGAAATTAATCCCTAATATGCGCACAATCACATAAAGTAGAGAGAAAAATAAAAATAAAAACGTAAGCTTTACGTGGTTTGATAAGGGGAAAAGATCAAAAAGAAAATTTTTCATTATGATAAATAATAAAAGTACATTAGATTAGTTAAGTTGTAAATCTTTACATGCAGAAAATATCAGGATTTACCCTGCAATATTCTTCGAATATATCAGAATATTTCTAAAATATTTCTCGGAATATATTAAATCGAACTACATTAGCGTATTATTTATAATACATTTTTTCACGCTTAAGTTTGTAAAGTTCTGATTATAGTTTAATCATATAAATAAGTACAGTATGAGTGTTATAGATAGGTAAAGTATGAGTGTTAAATTTTTCGACTCTAATATAATATAAAATAATTGAATTAAGTATAAAATTTTAAACAAAAAAAAATATGATTCAATCTATTATCTATACATTGACATTCTCGGTTTTTCTTTTACTTATACTTGCGAGTTTTGTTAATAATCACCAACTTATACATAGTTGTGGAGGACGGATCAAACTGGAGCATGGGTCAACGACAATTGTTCTGTTTGGGACGCGCTCTTCTACGAAGAAGCCGTATATTGGTTCTCGATGAAGCAACTGCGTCGATTGACAATACAACAGATATGATTCTACAAAGAACTATTCGGAGCGAATTTGCAGATTGCACTGTAATCACAGTGGCTCATAGAATTCCTACGGTGATGGATTGCACCATGGTGCTCGCTATTAGTGATGGTAAGTATTTAAAACGAACTAATTACATTTACGGAATCTTTCGACTCGTTTGTATATTTATAGCGGGTAAATAATTTATTCATGCTTGTCTGTGTTGTAGGTAAACTTGTGGAGTATGATGAGCCAATGGAGCTAATGAAGAGGGAAGGTTCACTTTTTGGGCAGCTAGTGAAGGAGTACTGGTCTCATTACCACTCTGCAGATCTACATTGAAGCTTTAGGAATCATTTTTCTCCACTGTAAATTAAATTTTGTTAAATAAATAATTCACTAATGAGTTAAAAGTACTATTTCTTACACTAATATTGCACATTATTAAATTCTAATAGGTGACCAACTATATTTCATATCAATTATAATTGACTAATGAATGACATAAAATTTTTTTTTTTCTTTCATTCAACTGTTCTCTTCAAGATCTTAATTTAATCATTATAATAAATGACAACATAGAACTTAAATTTATTACTAAAATTGACGGATTCCGTTTTGATCAATTATTAGTTCTATAAGTATTTAATCACACTCAATATCCTTTCAATTATAATTTTATGACTATCGGTGTTCAGAATTAAAGCATGATAAATGATTTATATTATGATGATCTCATGTTTAAAGAAAATTCTTACATTTTATCATCTTAAGATAATATTTTATTGATAATTTAAGACAACGTTAACTATTAAAAATTTTAAATTGGGTCAGTTCATATGTATCATATATATATATATATATATGTAATTTACTTAATGAGATTAATTAATATTTATCTTATAAAAATTATCACATATATATTAATTTTACCAGATTATTAATATAATATTTTGATAATTTAGTGACTAAAAATATTTTAGGGTAAATCATAAAATATTTTATTCTCATTATCAAGATCTCTATTTTGATATAAAATCTATAAATTTAATCAATAATTTTATCATATAAATTAAATAATGATAATAAAAATATTATTGTTATATATTAAAATAAATTATCAAATAATAATATATTTAATATATTACCTAAATAATTAGATCGTGAATATAACGTTTATATCTCTAAGATGACTCGGACTCGAAATTATAAGAAAAAAAAAAAACTATTTGCTTCATACAAAAATGATATTGATTTGATACTATATCGATTTGATTAGTCAACTGCGAACTGGGACGTGGGTTTCTCCTCTGCAAATCCTAACAAGACCCCATTGTCTACTGCCGGCTCAAAGCCACCGCCATGCACGGCAAGAAACCCATTTACACCGCCACCTTCGTCGTCTCACTCATTCGGCCAAGATGTTCACGACGAAGCTGTTTTTCTCGCGAGTTTCTCGAACATGGCCGTGGCTGATCTTGAACTAGTGACCGACGCTTCCGCCGGCGGACGGATCAGCAGGGAGACGTTTTGGTCGGTTAGATTTTCGGGTGTATATGTATATATGTTTGTGTTGGGATTTTTATAGTAGGAAGAAAATTTAAATTTTTATTAATTTTATTTATTTAATAATTTAAAATATTTTTAAATGATTTTATACTAAATTTAAAATTTAAAAAAATAATATATTATAATTTAAAAAATAAATATAAATTAAATTTAATAAAAAATAAATTTTATTTTAATTTAAATAAATAAATAAAATAAATTATAATTTTTACATTTATTTTCAATAATTTTTTTTAACATAAAAATTTTAATAATTAAATTTATTTTATTAGAACACTTTTTTTAATATTTTTTTTTATTTGACTTTTATATTTTAAAATACTTTTATTTCGTATTTTTCGTCAAACTCTAGTTATTAATATATTTTTTATTAATTTTTAATTATTTAATGTATTTTTTATCAAAATTTTTTTTAGAAAACTTTTTTTTAATTTTTTTAAAATTTTTTTTTTTTTTTTAAGTAAAATTCTTCAACACTGTAATTTTTGTTTTATGTATAACCAAATAAAATATTGTGATTTAACTTTGTGGGTGGTTTTGGTTTCGTCTTTCTTTCGATGGTCGTTTTCATTTCATAGTTTTTTTTTTTTTTTTAAATGTATGTTGTAATTGAGTATTGACTTGCTAAGTTGAGAATTTTGATTTGGATTCTGCTTCTTTTTTTGTTTGTTTTAGGAAATTTGTGTGATCGTCCTTTTTTCCCCTTCTGCAACGATGGATTGTTTTCATCTTGTCGTTTTTTTTTGGCTTGATGCCAAACAACATTGGCCTTGTACTTCCCAAAATGGATTCTTCTGCTTTTTCTAGTTTTCTTTATGTGAATGAAATGAACTGTTGGTGACCCAATTCTCAGTTTGTTTATCTTATTGTCTCCAGCTCTTTTTTTTTTTTTTTGGTAACTTGAGTCTTGTTTTCCACCTGTTCGAGAGAAGATCTAATTGAAGATTTTGATCAATCGAGGTATGGGTTTAAGTTTTTGACAGCTTTAGGACGAATGTGCTTTATACATTTCTCACTTGCAACATGAAGTGCACCAACCGTGCAATTTTCATAATATCCGCCAGTTTTTCTTGGGAAGAGAATTCTTCAAAGTCAACACTTGAAGGCGTAAGTTTAGAGCTTAGGCCTGGAGAAAAAGTGGCAATTTGTGGAGAAGTTGGTTCAGGGAAATCAACCCTTCTAGCAGCAATTCTTGGAGAAGTTCCAAATACACACGGAACTGTAAGTAATTACTTCTCTTTTCAGGCTCCATCATTTTCATAATTATTCTATATCTAAATGTTGCAGAGCTCTTTCATACCTTATCTGTAAACTGCTCCTTTTTTTTTTTTTTTTTTTTTCAAATTAACAGATTCAGGTTTATGGGAAAATTGCTTATGTTTCTCAAACAGCATGGATTCAGACAGGAAGTGTGCAGGAAAACATTCTATTTGGCTCTGCAATGGATAGACAAAGATACCAAGAAACAATTGAGTGATGTTCATTGGTAAAGGATCTTGAGTTGTTTCCTTATGGTGATCAGACTGAGATTGGTGAAAGAGGAGTTAATTTGAGTGGTGGGCAGAAGCAGTGAATTCAGCTTGCTCTTGCTCTCTATCAGGATGCCGATATCTATCTCTTGGATGATCCTTTTAGTGCTGTTGATGCCCATACAGCAATCAGTTTATTCAATGTAAATACATGCTTTTATTACCTTCTAATTACTTTCATTACCATCCTTTAGAGAAAACTGACATAAATCTTCACAGGAATATGTTATGGAAGCACTTTCTAGGAAGGCAGTGTTACTTGTGACCCATCAAGTAGATTTCTTGCCTGCATTTCATTCTGTTTTGGTCAGTATACTGTGCTTCAGAAACTTCCTGAATGTTCTTTATTTTTCTTTTGCTTTACCTACATTGGACATCCAAATCTGTTCTATAATTTCTTTTTAACTGTCAATAATAATATTATATTTTAAAAGTTTAAGTTTTACTTTTGTTATGTTAACAGTTGATGTCAGATGGAGAAATCCTTCAAGCTGCACGTTATCATCAATTACTGGCTACAAGCCAAGAATTTCAAAACCTTGTCAATGCACACAAAGAAATTGCTGGTTCTGAAAGGGTTGCTGAGGTTAGCAAGCCCCAGATACATGAACAGGTGCTAGGGAGATCAAGAGGACTTATGTGGAGAATAAATTCAGAACCTGCAAAGGTGATCAATTGATCAAGCGAGAAGAGTGAGAGATAGGAGACAACGGGATTAAGCCATTTAGACAGTATCTTGGTCTGGACAAAGGGTTTTTTGTTCCTATCCATTGCTTGTCTTTCTCATGTTATGTTTGTGAGTTGTCGGATAGCACAGAACTCTTGGATGGCGGCTAATGTTGACAATCCTCATGTTGGCACACTGCTTCTCGTTACTGTTTATCTGTTGATTGGAGTTAGCTTAACAGTTGTTTTGCTAATTAGGTATCTTTTTATTGTCATTGTGGGTATCAGATAATCAAAATCTTTATTTTCACAGCTGCTAAACTCCCTTTTCCGTGCTCCAATGTCTTTCTATGACTCCACACGTCTAGGAAGAATACTTAGTCGGGTAAGCAGCACAATTGACCAAATACTGATGCATCAGTTTTAAGTAACCATTAATTGGAAGTAATCTTTCTTAATCTAGTTCTTTTGTCCTTCTTTAGGTCTCTTCTGATCTTAGCATAGTCGATCTTGATGTGCCATTCAGCTTAATGTTTGCTCTTGTGACTACCCTGAATGCTTACTCTAATCTTGGAGTACTGGGGTTTGTCATGTGGCAAGTCCTGTTCATCTCCATTCCAATGATTTTTTTAGCAGTTCGCTTACAGGTATGGTCATCTAGGTTCTTTCTGTCAATACTAACAAGATCTTTTAGGCCTTGCTTTCTTGATATTTACAAAATACTTGCATTGTTTATCTGCAGAGGTATTAATACGCTATAGCAAAGGAGTTGATGTGGATAAATGGCACAACCAAGTCGCTGGTAGCAAATCATCTAGCCGAATCTATAGCTGGAGCCATGATGATTAGAGCTTTCGAGGAGGAAGAGCAGTTCTTTGCAGAGAATCTTGACCTCATTGACACTAATGCTAGTCCTTCCTTCCACAATTTTGCAGCCAATGAGTGGTTGAAAGACTTGATCAATACATGCATATACCAAGTGAAGCACCTGAAGTGATAGAAGAGAACCGGCCTCCAAGCAACTGGCCAGCTATTGGGAAAGTGGAGATATCCAATTTACAGGTACATTTTCTTTTGTTTCCCTTCAATCTAATGTTTAGTTATTATGCCGAGAAAGAATGGATTACATAACAGATCAGATATCAGCCTGAAGCGCCACTGGTTCTTCAAGGAATAACCTGCACCATTGAAGGACATAAAATTGGTATCGTTGGCAGAACAGGCAGCGGAAAAACTACTCTTATAGGTGCTTCGTTTCATCTGGCAGAACCAGCTGGAGGAAAGATTGTGGTAGATTGCATTGACATCTCTAGAACTGGACTTCATGATTTGAGATCAAGATTTGGGATTATACCTCAGGAACCTACTCTCTTTAATGGGACTGTTAGATATAATCTAGACCCTTTATCTCAACATACAGACCAAGAAATATGGGAGGTACAGTTTCTGGATTTCACTTCCTTTGCACCTAACTGCTGTTATATATAACTTGCAAGATACAAAATGCTGAACATTTTCTTATTCTTGTGATCATGAAGGTCCTGAAAAAGTGTCAGCTTGGAGAGACTGTCCAAGAAAAAGGAGAAGGATTGGATTCTTTAGGTAAGATAGTTAATTAAGAATTAAGCTAATTTTGTCAGTAAAGTAATTAATTATCTGTAAGGAACTAAGGGTTAATTAGAAAATAGAAAAATAATATGCAGGGTAAAAAGGATAATGATTATAAGGGTAATTTTATTTTTTGTATTATAACAAATTAGGATTAGGGTTAAGTGAACTAGAAAAATAGAAAAATAAGAGAAAGATCGAGACTTTTACCCGATCATCATTCCACCATTCAGGTGGTTATAACTTCCGGTTTTTATAACTTATATATAGACGAGTATTTAAAGATAAATATATTTTTTCTCTCAAATTTTACCAACTCTCTCTCTGTTTTCTCTCTCTTTCTTCTATATCCGAACTATAGATCAAATTCGTGATATTATCTCACAAATTTAAACTACTATAGAATAACATTGTTTGTAGTAAGTTTCATCACGGTTTAAGTATAGTTTAATCATATAAACAATTAGGATGCAAATATTAAATTTCTTTAACTTTAATATCATATAAAATAATTGAATAAGTATAGAGTTTTAAATACTAAATATATGATTCAATCTATCGTTTATACGTTAATATTCTCGTTTTTTCTTTTATTTTTGTTTGCGGCTTTCGTTAACAATCACCAACCTATACATAGTTGTGGAGGACGGATCAAACTGAGCATGAGTCAACGACAACTGTTCTGTTTGGGACGTGTTCTTCTAAGACGAAGTCGTATATTGGTTTTTGATGAAGCAATTGCGTTAATTGATAATACAACAGATACGATTTTATAAAGAACTATTCGAAATAAATTTGTATATTATATTGTAATCGATATAATTTGATATAATATTAGTATAATACGATAATAATAATTTCTGAATAAAAATACATGTAAAAATATAATATGATTCGAGCTTATAATTTTTTATGGAGAACGAGATATATCAGTCGTTTAATTAAACAATATTAATACATTGATATGCAATGATATAGTATTGAATTTTATTGATATTTTAAAATAATTATTTATAAATTTTATTAGTTAATGTAATTTACTCTTAATATATTAATTAAAATATTTGTATTACTCTTACATGTATTATACTTATGGTATAAATTGGAGTTGTTGTAAATTATTTATGGTAAGTATAAAAATATAAATTACAAATATTTTTATATTTTTTTTTATAAAATTTGACCCTTATTATATGATTTGTAAAATTAATTTATAAATGATTTTCTAAAAGTTTACAAAATTAATCATGCGAAATATTCTAGAACATGTATATATATATATGTGTGTGTGTGTGTGTGTGTGTATATATATGAATATTGATTTCATATCATATCAATTTGATTGGTCAACCCTGAAAATTATATTATTATTTCCTTAATTTTCTCTATTAAACACTTATTTTCTAAATAAAAACTGAGAGGTTTAATTAAAATATATTACTTTAGAGACGTTAATACAGGCTTAATCCGCCATTAACAGATACCTTGATCGGCCATATTCTTCCATCTACACTCTCTGCAAATGGAGCCTCCGAGCCCCAACACTGCGAACAAGCTCCGTGCGCTGTTGCCATGGTTAGGAGCTGTAGCTGGGTTCTTCCTCGTGGTTTTCATTTTAGCAGTAACAATTGAGTTTCTGCAACCATCTCTGCCAAGAATCCATGTCGACTCAGTCAATGTATCCTCCATGACCATATCCCCTGACCTGGTCGTCACGGCAAACTGGGACGTGAGTTTCTCCTCTGCAAATCATAACAATAAACGCATTCTCTACGACAGGCTCAGAGCCACCGCCATGCACGGCAAGAAACCCATTTCCACCGCCACCTTCGTCGTCTCACTCATCGGCCAAGATGTTCACGACGAAGCTGTTTTTCTCGCGAGTTTCTCTAACATGGCCGTGGCTGATCTTGAATTAGTGAAATACACCCCCGACGGCGGAGGGATCAATGGGGAGACAGGTTGGTTGGTGAGATTTTCAGTGAGTTTGGTCGGAGATGCGATTTACAGAGGACCGACATGGCCGAGGAACAGAATCGCCATGGAAGCTTCTTGTGGAGAAGTAGAGGTGGTGTTTTCTTCTAACAGTAACATGAGTAGTATGGTGGTGTTTGGGGAAAGGAGATGCAGAGTTGATGGGTACTGGAGAAGTTTAGGCCGTGCGTTTAGGATTGTGAAGATAATCTCCATTGTTGTCACCTTGTGGGCTTTGTTCCCTGTGATTTACATATTAGCTGTTCTTAATGCTAGATCATTAGCATGTCTAATATAGTCCCAAGTTTAATTAATTAATTTATTACTTAATTTTTTCTTTTTATTATTTTCTTATTCAACATTTCTACTAAACTATATTAAATTTTTTATTTTTTTTAAAAATTTTATTATTTAATTTATGATATTGTATGCCAAGATTAGTTTTCTTAACAAGAACAAAGGCCAAAACCATGAGCGCAATTTCTCTTTTTGAATACTTCAGAAGAACTTTCAAACATTCAGTGAAAGCTGACTACTTTACAAATGGAAAATCCCTTTTGAGTTCTCAACTGGCTAATGCCTAATATGGTTAACACCAGATTTGGTTACATTTCAATTCCGAACTCATAGAGCTATCTGTTTTATTAGACAGCTCTCTCGGAAACACAACCTTCCCATTCGAATCGACAGATTTTCTCAGCAAAATATAATTCAATGCAACTCAAGGATGAGATTAGAAAATAGAATGAAGAATGAAGAATGATATGTAAATGCTATTCTAATCCCTAAGGCCCGCCCAGAATGGCATTTTCAATATCCTCCCTGCTCAGTGCATAGCTGAATCTCCTCTCAACATCTTTTTCCAGATTACCAGGTCCACTCTTCAAGTATCTGCAAAACAGAGAATTCCCTGAAACTTGATTTAACTAGGAAAAATCTGTATTTGTTTTAACTCCCTGAAAATTCCATAGAAAGCAATGAAAAATTGGACCTTCTAGAAAATTCAAAGTTAAAACAATTGACTAAAAATATGATTCCATTATTACAAGCAGCAGACTATTAGGAGCAAAAATGGAGAACAATCTGGTGCTAGACTTTGAAGTATACAAATAACATATTAACCACAAATGGAGATCAATTTGGCATCAAACTTGAAATATATAAAGGACATGTCAGCCTCCGCCCCTGCTACCTTGCTTGGTGCTTCCCCATTCCTCTCCATGCGGAAAGAAAGAGGAGAGAGATAGAGCCAGACTCAAGACTGATGCAGCAAGAGGAAACCAAAAATATGCACAGTGAATCTAAGTAAATTTGGAATCCTCCTTCCAAAACAAGAAGGGATTTTCTGCGATCAGAGTTTTGAGCCTCTAATTCCAGATATTGGTATGATTTTGAACTAATTGGTGATCAGTATAGTTATGTGATGACTCAGAGTTACAAAGCATGCAACTATTTGGTTCCTATCATACACTCCCTTACACTATACTTTAGCCTGATTCTGAAACCTCATGCTCATGTATGATTGTGCAAAAAAATGGAACTACCAACATGCTTGAAGAGAGAAGGCATGGATCACAGCTGCTGTAATGAGATGGTTGACTGTGGAAATACCGAGCATGAGAAACCAGTCAAAACACCAAATAATATCTAGCCATACTGCATTACTTTTCTTCCTGAAAGCAGCATTTGTGCCACTAGTACCAACCTTCCAAATACCAAATTAAAGCACAATCTCTGAGGAAAAAGAATCCGATATCCAGAAACCAAGTAAACATCCCAAAGACTGAAAGAGACCAGAGTCATATCTCTGATCTTAAGCTCTGCTGGCGCCTAGTTCTTATCAATTCATTACCAAGGCCAGTTTGTTCTTCAATCTAAAAGCTACTTTCCCTCTACAAGAATAAAACAAGCAAAAATTACAATTTCACCTCCTCTAGTTCTTACACATTGTTTCTCTAAGAGATAATCTTAAAATTTTTCTCCTAATTTATTTTAACTTTTCCATGTTTCCGTTCAGTAACGGTTTCATGTAAAATGAGAAAAAAAATAATAATTCAAGTATCATAATAACTGAGGATCAGGTTTTTGATCTGTAATAGGGCCAACCAACATAACTAAAAATGCATTACGTCCTGAGAAAAAATGAAACCTAATTTCACGAATAACAACCATTGTAAGTGACTTAAAACACTAGTAAGTTCCAACTTAACAATCTGAAAATCCCAATACCAGGGAGCAAAAGTGTAACATGGTCCTGATAAAATCCAACTCCATTTGAATTCATTGATCCAAAAACTTAAAGAGAGTAAAATTTCACCATCCATAACAGTAGCCTAAAGCTATAAACTTCATAACTACCACCAAAATCTGACTACCATTTAATTCCATACTTCGTCATTTTCAACAAGAAACCAAAAACCCAGAAGTCCAATCATAGCAAATCCACCCATGTATTCTCATTGCTTGAAAATCAAATATGAAAGCAGTAAAACATAGAAAAAAATATTTAAAACCAATAGGGCGGGAGTTTGGTTTTTACCTTATAAAAAGATCAGTAACATCAAGCGATAACTGGGCATGCCAATCGGGCTTTTCAACTAACCAAACAGCTCGGTCCTCTCTGCTTTGGAAAAACCCTAGATTTCTCAACCAAGCCTCAATGCAAGGCAAGCTGTGAGAATACAATGGCTTCTTCTTATCTGGAAGTCTCCTGAGCCACTCGTCCTCTGTATCAGAAAGCTCCTCTGCTTCGGACGAATTTGCGTAGACAAGAGTTAGGGTTTTTCTCCGGGAGGGCGAAGGGAGAAGAAGGTGAGATTTGGGGAAATTGATAGGGTTTAAGGTGGTAATGTAATGGAGTCTCTGAGGAGTTATGGTGTTGACAGAGGAGAGTATATCAGTACTGATGAATTTGAAAGCAGACGCAGAATACATGATTAATTATTGGAGATTTTTAACAGGGTAATTTGATTTGGTTAGTGAATTGGGTGAAGAAAATCAAGGGAAGAGATGAATGAAGAAAGAGAGTGGAGGTTGAACCGGTTATGGAGCAAACCTCCATTATCTTCTTCTTGGTGGTGACTGAAGAAAATTTATGGTGTAAGTACTCGTACTGGCCTACTTACTGGATAAGGGCTTTGGACCTTACGAAAAGTCCTTGGGCCCGAAAGCCCATTATCCAGAACGACGTCGTTTACAAGGCAATAGAGAAAATTTTTGTTTGCCCGCCCTTTTTCATTTTCCCGCCGAAGAACCTCAAAACAACAACGTTAAACGACGTCGTTCTTGCATTTCTTCATCTTGATCTTCCGTCATCTTCTTCCTCTCCGTCTCAGCCTGCACATGTTAGCCTCTTTCATTCTATCTGCAAATCTGGATCGAGTTCTTTTATTCTGCAACACGGAGATTTATCTGTTTTTCTAATGGGAAAAGGAACGATAACAGATTACAGCAAAACGCAGCGTATAGTGTTTCTGATAGACCTCAACCCTCTTTTCCATCTGTCGGACTCAACTCCATACCTGACCACTCTCCTTTCCTCCATCAAGACCATTCTCTGTTTTCCACCTCTATCGTCATCTCTATTTTCCTTCAAGCCATTCTTTTCATCTCTCTCCCCTCTCCTATCCTGCTCCAAGCTCCCTTCCTTTTCCTTTTTTGGTTCTCTCTCATTTGACCTCCATGAACCCACCTTATCCCTTCTCTCCCGCCTCTTCGTTTCCCTCGAGGAAATCCCAATTTCTTCTAATTCGAGTTCTGCTGAAGCTACGTTGCCTCGTGGGCTCCATATTGCCGCTTCCATGCGCCAGCTCGCACACGAATACGCGTGGGATCCGATGGTTCGCGATCCTGTGATGGGTAAGGTTCTGGGTTGTGATGATTCTGTTTCTGTTAGGTCCAATTTGGTTGTTTTGCTTTCTCCGATTTGTAGAGATTTTGATTCATTAGCTGCGTTCTTAAATTTGGGAATTGATGATCAGTGCTTAAAGGATTTGGATTTGTTTAAATTGAAATTTCGTGGGATTTTTGGGAGTGTGAATGATGCTTTTGTTTCCCGCGATATTCATTTCAGTTGGGTGGATGTGAAATTTGAATCGGGATCTACTCAACAGGGAGTTGAGATCGGTGGTTCTGGATCGACATTTGCGTTTTTTGAGAGTGGAATTAGGGATTTGGGATGGGGGTTTTCTTCAACTGATTCAATTGTCCTGGGTCTGCTTTGCTTCCTTTTGGATTGATTTACCCGAGAATTGGGATTTCTTCTTATTTTTCCCTTTATAATGAACGTTGCAAGAGAGTCCATGTGCAACTGAGCCTTGAGATCTTAGACGTAAAAGGTAAGCCTTTACAATGCAAATGCTGTGAGCTAGAGTTGATTGTTCCCAGAATCTTCCATGAAATTAGGCTTGATGGGTCCACGAATTTACAGACTGGTTGTGATGAGAAGAGCAAAAGATTATTGGTGGAGAAACTTTGTGATGGAGTCACAAAACTTCATATTAAGGCAGTTAGGAGGTATCAGGAGTGTGTGAAGATTGAGGAACACTTATCTGAACCTGTTACAGTTTGTGAATTTTTGGGTGAATCTGGTTCCGATAACAAAGGGAACTCCAGTAATTTACATGTAAATCGGATTCTTCGAATATTGGCTCTGGAAATGGGTGAGTGTAGCTTGCCAAAATCTGTGCCCATTTGGAAAATTCTGTTGAGCTTTTTATATAGGGAAGGTTACTGGGCTTTGGTGGCCCTTTCAAGTGACAAAAGTCCTTTATGTATGGGAATTCTCAAGCCCTTCACAGTTTCTTCAGCTCTACTTTCCATTATGAATGATGAATTCTACCCTTGGAACATGGTACAAGAATTTGGTGGAGGAGGAACTGAGTTGATCACAAAAGCAGATTATGTGATTAGCAAATCAAATGCTGATATGGAGCACTCTCCTTTTCTGGATTCCCAATCCGGGCCTGCATCACATGGTAAGCACACAGCAGAAAACATTGAGAAAAGGAAAACTAGCAGAAAAAAATTACATTTGCTTCAGAACCTCTCATGGGATGCTTTTTGCAAAGCTGTGCCTGATCATTATGTAGACTTAGAAGATATCTTTTTTGCAACTGAATGTGATAACTCAAAGAAGTTAAAATTTATGAAATGCTGGATGAAGCAGATAAAGAAATCTAGCAGTTGCAGCTTGGCAATAACTGTAAATTCCAAGCCGTGTGAGGATATCACAAAACAATTAGACCCTAGAATGGGGGAGCTTCTTCAAGAAAGCGAACAATCAATCCCTTTATCTGCATCATTGGGAGATAATTCAAATTCTTTGGTTGAGATTTATAGGGTGCAGGAGAAAGATACTCTTTATTACCACTCAGAAAACTCAGAAACTTTAGAAAGTTTCTTCTGTAGTCTTCCTGATAAAATTAAACAAGGAGTTGCATCTGAAGAAGTGGATGTATGGGCTTTGGCAGACCGACTCGTGACCTCATCTATTTTCTGGTTATGCCGAAAATTTGAAAAGAAAATTGAGAGTGAAGCTCCTGTGCCCAAAATTGAGAATGCTTGTGGTGGCATGGTAGCAGAGGAACTGACCAGACTCTTACTCAGGGAGCCCAAGGAGTTGTTTTTGATGCACAAAAAGAATGATCCGTTGTCTATGGCGTCTGATTCAAAAAATTTAATAAAAGAGTATCCTTTTCATATGGTTCACTAAATCTTAAATTTGAATATCTTCTTTAGTTTTCATTACCCATTGGTTCACTTATTTATCTATATAATTCACTTGGTTTTCTTATTGGTTTTATAAGGTGAACCGTTGGGTTCAACTTCTGTGATCCTTAATAAGTAGAAGATATGAACTACAGATTCTCTTTCGCATCGAGATTCTAAAATCAGAAGTAGGTGTGGGTATTGAGGAACATGTGAAGCAGAAGTTTGTGAAACATATTTGCACGTTCCTAGAGGCTATTCAATGCCATCTAGAGGGTGGATTTTTTGGCGACTGGAGCCTTGAGAATTATGTGGAGAAGACCATAAAGAATAGGTGCGTGGTTTATGCCCGTTTCTTCTATTTGCCTCATTAGGACTTAATTACATTATTCGTTCCGGTATTATTATTATTTTTATCATTCGATTTGATTCATATTCTGATTTTATATTCAATCAGTCGTTATAATTTTTAAAAAAATAATTGACTTAGTCACTCTTTGTTAGTGACTATTAATATTATTAACGACCATATTATATATTACTGATTTAGATATGTGATATTATTTAGTTAGTTATATTTTTAAGTCAGATTTCATGTGTTGCCTGTCGTAATATTTAAACGAAAAAATGTTTAGATGAAATTTAGATTATTTTAGAAAATAAAAATAACAATAAAAAATTTTTAATTTGGTAGAATATTTGCTTGGATAGCATTCATGATGGTTGTTTTGGATAATCTTTAATGGATCCTGAATAAAAATAAGTACTGTTCTCCGAGTTGTAAATTTTTCAAAAAAAAAAAAAAAGAGAAAACTTCTTGAATAGCTTTCATTTTGGTACTTATCAGGCATTCTATTATTAAACTAAGAATGTTCTGACTGATGTTTGATATGCATTATTTCAGATATAGCTCTACTCTCGGAGATATGGTTCATAAAATTTATACGAAGATGGATTTGTTGGTGTTCACCGAGGAGGATGGATCCCCTAATAACTTGCTCAATAGCGAGGATAGTAATCAATCCTGGAGAGAAAAACAAGAGAAAGATCAAATGAGTGATGGTTGCAGAGTCAATCAATCAGTGGCAGTGAGAAAGAGGTTCCCCCTTCATGAATATACTGATGAAAACTGCCAAGAGATTAAAAGAGAGGAGCATTCTCGTAAATTAATGGAAGCTCAAGAAAGAAGGGAGAGGGCTCGAAGATTTGCCTCTTTCACTAGTTGGATGCCGGATTTACAAAGGGTTTGGGCGCCAAGACATACAAAGGAAATGAAAGTTAAGGTCCGGAAGCTGTCAAAGAGGAAAGGCAATAAAAGTACAAGCTGCTATGATATGGTATGTGAGACCCCAATGACAGGAAATGAACGTTCACATCAACGAGTAAATTCCAGTGGTGACAAAGAATACCATAATAGCAATGGGACAAAGTCTGGCGTGTCAGTTTCCAAGGCTTTATTTCGAGATTAACTGTTAAAGGAGCCAGTCAATCCTTCTTAGGCTTCTTTATTTTGTGTCTTTCTGCAGCCATTTCCACGAAAAGGGTAAAAGGCCTAACTGCTCGCGAATGCTTATCTATACAGCTGGTTTGGACTAAAGAATGACTTGTACCATTTCCTTAGCAGGCTCCAACATGAAATGATCTGGTTTCTAATGAAGGTAAGGAAAATACAAAGCTGACAAAATTCGAGACAGAATACCATGCATGATCCATCAGCTCTCTACCGCGGAGAGGCAAGGAAATGGTGGTCATGCCAGAAATTCTAAGAGCATGTTTAAGGATGTGGTGTTCTGCAACTGGGATTGAAAGATGACTTAGAGGTCTCAAAGGCGTTTTAAACCGGTGAATTATCATTCGAAAGGCTTTCGAAATTTTCTTGGTCTGTTTGTATATGTGACTCTTTGTAAAGATAGAAACTCAAATTCATTGCAGAAGACGCATGTGATGTGATCTTCTGGGCTTGAAGAACCTTGGAGACAACTTTAAGGCCGAAGATCTTTGTGACATATTCAACATAATAACATTTAGAAGAACTTCCTGTAACTCTGTTCTTTATTCCTGTAAATTTGTAGTAAATTTGTAAATACGTTTAATCAAAATTTTCAATTTATTTTATGTTTAAATATTTTTATTTAATTTAAAGTAATATATTTTTTAAAGTGAGAAATTTTATATTAAACGTATCAAAACGGGTCGTTTTATGTATAAGAATATAATTTGAAAATAGCTACTGGGGATGATGGACGTTGGGTGCAGCATGCATGCACCATTCCAGTTCAACTTGTCCAGTCAAAGTCCATAAAGCAGAGCTTCCTTGCCCGAACCCCCCTTCTGCAACACGAGCCTTCTTATCAGTTCATGAAACGGATCATCGTCACTCCTCTTTCCCGCCATTTATTAACGGTTAGACAAGTACAAACCTCGATCGCACTAGACCCATGTCCTGAATTTGTCCCGCGCTGCTCTGTTCTCTCCGAGAACCTGTGTGGAAAACTATTGGACCAATACCCAGATGTCAAAACGCTGAAGAAACTGCATTCGAAAATGGTTGTTGATAATCAGTTTCACTTGAATCCCTCGATTGGCATTAAACTGATGCGAGCCTACGCTGCTAACGGGGAAACTGGAGCCGCACGTCACGTATTCGACGAAATTCCTGAAAGGAATGTGGTTTTCTTCAATGTTATGATCAGGAGTTACGTGAACAACAATTTGTATCATGATGCTATTCTTGTGTTTAAATCGATGTCTAGATACAGAATTAGTCCGGATCATTATACTTACCCTTGTGTCTTGAAGGCTAGTTCTGGTTCTGGTTCTGGTTCGGGTTCGGGTAATTTGTGCATTGGCTTGCAAATTCATGGTTCTGTTGTGAAAGTTGGGCTGAATGGAAATTTATTTATTGGTAATGGTCTGGTTGCTATGTATGGAAAATGTGGTTGTTTGGTGGAAGCTCGGCGAGTTCTTGATGAGATGCCCAGAAGAGATGTAGTGTCTTGGAATTCGATGGTTGCAGGGTATGCACAAAATGGAAGGTTTGATGATGCTTTGGAAATTTGCAGGGAAATGGAGATGTTGAAGCTGAAACCTGATGCGGGTACTATGGCTAGCCTACTTCCCGCCGTGACTAACACATCAACTGAGAATGTGGGTTATGTCAAAGAAATGTTCTTGAAATTGGCTAAAGAGAGTTTGGTTTCCTGGAATGTGATGATAGCAGTTTATGTGAATAATTCAATGCCTGCCGAAGCAGTTGACCTGTATTTACAAATGGAGGCTTATGGGTTTGAGCCTGATGCAGTCTCTCTTTCTAGCGTTCTTCCTGCCTGTGGCGATACTTCAGCTCTGTTGATTGGAAAGCGGATTCATGAATATGTTGAGAGGAAAAGGCTCCGGCCAAACTTGTTGTTGGAGAATGCACTGATTGACATGTATGCTAAGTGTGGAAGCCTAGAGGGTGCAAAATCTGTATTTGATCAAATGAGGTTTCGAGATATTGTGTCATGGACTTCTATGATCTCTGCATATGGTATGACTGGGCAAGGTCATGATGCTGTGTTACTCTTTTCGAGAATGCGAGACTCGGGTCTCATTCCAGATGCCATTGCATTTGTTTCAATTCTCTCGGCTTGCAGTCATGCAGGATTGCTGGAGAAGGGGTGGTATTACTTCAAGTTGATGACTGAGCAGTACAATATAGGTCCTAGGATAGAGCATTTTGCATGCATGGTAGACCTCTTAGGACGTGCTGGCCAAGTAGAAGAGGCCTATAAATTTGTTAGAGAAATGCCAATGGAGCCAAATGAGAGGGTTTGGGGGGCTTTATTGGGTGCCTCTCAAGTGCATTCTAATTTGAGCATTGGGCTTATTGCTGCTGACCAGCTATTTATGTTAGCTCCGGAGCAGTCAGGTTATTATGTCTTGTTATCAAACATATATGCTAAGGCTGGTAGATGGGAAGATGTAAGAACTGTCAGATCAATCATGAAGAGCAAAGGAATAAAGAAAATTCCTGGAGCCAGTAATGTTGAACTTAAAGATAAAATCCACACATTTCTTGTTGGTGACCGGTCACATTTGCAGTCGAAGGAGATCTATGAAGAGCTGGATGTGTTGGTGGGAAAGATGAAAGAGGCAGGTTATACACCTGAGACTGATTCTGCCCTTCATGATTTGGAGGATGAGGATAAGGAATCCCATCTGTCTGTTCACAGTGAGAAGTTGGCCATTGCCTTTGCCATTTTGAATACTGAACCTGGCACAACAATCAGGATTACCAAGAATCTTCGAATCTGTCAAGATTGTCATGTTGCTGCCAAGCTAATCTCCAAGATTGCTGAGCGTGAAATCATTGTTAGGGATACCAATCGTTTTCATCGGTTCAGTAATGGTGTTTGCTCATGTGGTGATTACTGGTGATCTGATTTGGGCACTCATTTTTTAGTTTGATGATACGCTGGGGCTGGTTTGTTCTTATACTTGGCAATGTGATTGCCATAGTGTATACAAGGGAGGCTGCGTCAATGATATTTGGTGAAAATGGCTGTGGGTTATTTTTACCCGAGTGCTGTTGAACCCTGCTCCTTATCCTACATAACTGATGGTCTTGAGCTTCCTGATTGTCAAGGCCACCCAATAAAAACAGGCATTTTTATAATCTGTCTTGATCCATGGCAAATCAGTAACTTTTTTGGACCTCTGGTTGATATTCGGGGGGATTTGATCGATCAATTCGTGTGGGGTTGAGAAAGCACTAAATGATCTAAAATCCTTTCAACTGTTGAGTCCACTAAGAGACTCCCATGACTGCAATCAGGAAAGGCTTCATCTGAAACTTGAAGTAATGAACATTATATTTGACAACCAGCTAAATTTTACAGATAAACCGCAATGAACTTGCAAACTTCTATAAACAGCTTTTATCAACTATCCGAAACATGAAGAAAGCTAAGTAAGAAGGTTCGGTTTTCTTTTTCTCTTTATATTCACAAACATTAATTCAGATAACATCAGCTTGTGCACTTGTATAGCATGCTACACTTCAATAATTTACATAGTTTTTACTATAAATGCAAGTTGATTCTGATGTTCATCCTTTTTCAGGGCCGTCAATCATCATTAGACTATATCTTCCCATATCTTTCTTCATGGATAGATCTAAAGCAATTCTCATATGGACATTATTTTTTTGTATAATTTCTTTAGGATTATTCTCTGGAGATTTGTTTATTTAGAGACTGACAAGCTACTGTTTTCTCTAATAGTTTATTCACAATTTTAATTAGCACTCTGAAATTTACTCTTCCATCTTTTTAGGCAAAAAAATGTGCCTTCAAAATTTCAGTAGTAACAAACTGCATCTCGCATAATGGAGTTCTCTAAGTGCATGACAAAAAGGAAGAGCCTGTATGGATCAAACTCTAGGCAGAAATTATTAGGATGGATTAATGTATTTGGATTAATGTATCTATCTGCTGTATTGTGCAAGACTTGTCAAGACCAGCTTTAACAAGACATGCTGCTGGCCCTTCAACTGTGACACCATTTTGGCTTAAAAAATAGTTAATATTCCGATTGGGTTGTGAACTCGGTTCATGGTTTGCTGAATGATTAGATATAAAAATATGTTAGTAAAAGATGCTGTCGAACTGAACCAATGGCAAGTGATAGTGTCTAAAAACTTGCGAGATTAGAAAATTGAGGAATATGAACATTTGCTCCAAACTTTCTTACATCCGCTTAACTGACAGTAATGATAAACTCATATGACAATACACCAAATTTAGTGATTTTTAATTTTTGTTCCTGTATAAGACTTTGATCAGTAATATTCTATAAGAATAGACGAAATTTTCAACTAGTATTATTTGGAAATCGGTTACCACTCCAAGAATTTCCCTTTTTACATGGGAAGTAGCAAAAAGCTGCATTTTTACATTAGATAATTTAATAAAAAGAGACTTTATAATTATCAATAGATATTTTCTCTACAAAAAAAACGTGTAATCACCTACTCTTGATATGTCCATTCTCTCACAGCCTTCAGTCTACTATTCTTGGCCTCATGAGATTATCTTCGGTCAAACATAAATCAATTTTGAATGAGCTGTTTGCATGGGAAGGATTGAACTCTCACAAGAAACCTTTTAGACTCGATTCTCTCACTATATTTTGGATTATTTAGAAAGAAAGAAACAATCGTACTTTCGAAAGAAAAGAAGTCGACTTCAGAATCGTCACTGATAACTGATTTCATTATTTCGAGTCCACTATTTTAAAATATAACATCAAATGCTTTTATGATCTTGACTCTATAATCGATTATTTAATCGATTTATAATTTTTTTGTAAATAGGTGGTGTCCCCTGACATCTTTACTTCAATTCAACTTCATACCTTCAATTTTCAAAAAAAAAAAAAAAACATGGTTTGCTGAATGGTGAATTTTCATCAGGTTGATCCGGTAATAAAAGGATAAAATTTTTACAAATTTTTACTGGAACATATTTGCCGGAGTTTTTCCCTGCTATCCCTCTTTCCCAGGATACACAGTTCTGTTTTTTTTTTTTCTTTTCCTATTCCTAAATTCTCTCTTTACACTCTCTCCGGAAAAGAAAACCATGAATCACTAGGTTTCGGATTGTAGAAAATCTATGAGATACTGGTTCTTGCAACTACAATTACCAGTATATTGTATAAAGCAAAAGAAAGTATATTTGGTTTCAGAAATCTTTCATTCCGCTTATGGATTCTCAACTTAGGTAGTCTGAATTCGAGTTAATATGTAAATCCTATCTTCTTATATATAGAATCTTGAATTTATATCTATATTTAAGTGGAGAAATGCATGATCATTAGGGTTAATCTACATGCAGTTTTAATACAAAATATCTCTCTTGTCCACATATAATCATATATCTAATTATGTGCTAAAAAATTGGCAGTTCTTGAGCATGATCACATGCTCTTTCCTTTGACTGTAACACCCTAAGGAATATAATCACATGATCTAGCTTTAATTATAAAAGTCAAAAGGAGCTCCGCAGGCATGGCTACGTGCATCCAAATATACAAGTATATATGTATATATAATTTATATTATATTATCTTTTATGATGAAACTCAAATTCTATATAGGGACCTTTATGGACATGATAAACAGATCACAGAAATCATTCCATTTGTACATTGACCTGAAGCAATGATCTCCACAAAGAATCACGCATCAACCTTCCTGTTTCTCTCCTTCCTCCTCTTGGCAGTGCTTGTTGGAGTCTCTGCCGGAAGAAGAGGAAGAATCACTACCTACTGGGGTCAAAACGGCAATGAAGGAACTCTAACACAAGCTTGTGCTACAAAGAACTATTCTATTATCAACATAGCTTTCCTCAACAAGTTCGGGAGCGGCATAACCCCGGAGATCAACCTTGCTGGCCACTGCAACCCAGCAACCAATGGTTGCACCTTTGTAAGCGATGCCATAAGAAAGTGCCAGAAGCACGGCGTCAAGGTCTTGCTCTCTCTTGGTGGCGGCATTGGCAACTACTCATTAGCTTCAAAGGCTGATGCCAAGAGGGTAGCAAAGTTTTTGTGGAACAACTTCTTGGGTGGAAGATCTTCGACACGTCCTCTGGGCAATGCTATATTGGATGGGATAGATTTTGACATTGAGCTTGGTTCACCAAATCACTGGGCTGATCTGGCTCGCTACCTTTCCTGGTATAGCATACTAGGAAGAAAAGTGTATCTATCGGCCGCTCCTCAGTGTCCCTTTCCTGATAGACTTCTGGGTGATGCTGTTAAGACAGGAATTTTTGACTCTGTTTGGGTTCAATTCTACAATAATCCACCATGCCAGTTCAGTGGAAATAGCTCGCAGAATCTAATAAGTGCGTGGAATCAGTGGACTCAATCAGTCAGGGGAATGAAAACGAAAATCTTTTTAGGATTACCAGCGGCTCCAGCTGCTGCAGGAAGTGGATTTGTTCCGCCAGAAGTGGTGACTTCTCAAATTCTTCCGGTTATAAAGAAATCACCCAAATATGGTGGTGTTATGCTTTGGTCAAGGTTCTTTGATGGCCAAACTGGGTTTAGTTCTGCCATTAAAAGCTTTGTATGAAAGCTTTGAGTTGATGTGGTTTATTACTTGTTCTTGGTTTGAATAATAATGAAGTTGTTTGACATTTAAGATATCATTAGACATGATTTGTTCTTATTTTTGCTTAATCTGCATAACTAAACCGAGTATAATAAAGTTTTGTTTGTTACGTTTTTGGACTTTTGCTTGGATAAATGGACCTTTTACATTCTGGGTCCTTTCTGACTTGTGCATATATATATATATATATATGTATAAACAACTTTCATCTCGTAATCAAATCAGCTGACTATCAATAATAAGTAAATCCCAAAAAAGAGCTGCAGCATTTCAAAAAGATGAAGATGGAAATTCAGATCCCAAATTCAAAAATATTATTGAAAATATCTAAAATGTAAAATATACCCATCTAAATACACTAAAAGTACTTGCGTAAGCAGTTCATCTCAGAGGCATACGATTATTTCCATGCCCATGTCTCGGCTTTTCGATTAACCCTGATCAATGCATCTGGGTTCAGTCCAGCTGATCCAGTTTTACTCTCAAAGAAACAAAACACAAAAATTGGAGTTGGATGAAGACGATCTTAAAAAAAATTCTGTACTTTTGGAGGAAGTAGAAGCCATTTGGTTCCCTGAATATAATCTAGAGACAAGAAAACTTTAGCTTCAGCACCACTTAGTTGCTTAGTGTAGTCGACCCGACCTTCAGTACTAGCTCCAGGTCCTGTGCACTTATATTCTCCATGGAAAACAGTACTGCAATATTATCACATTTTATATAATTCAGTTTAAATTCTTGAAATAATTTTTAACTAAAAAGAATATTAAATATAATGACGTACTCTTCTCTTTCAGGTTTGAAGTTAGCGCTCCATCCTTTGGGATGGACGACGAGGCCCATGTCGGTAAAGGCGTAAACCACCTTTGGAGCCGCCATCCAAGCCCTTCCCAAGTATATTCCTGTTCCTGATCCTGTAATTTTACAGTGCACGAATGAATATCCGGTGCCTTCTGATTCACTATTCCTTCCTTGTGCTGTTATCACCCTTAATCTCTTATCGTCAACCACATGGATTTCTGTATTCTGCATCATTCAATCCACTTATACCATTTACTACATATATATATATATATATATCATAATAATATTGTATCCATGTTCATATATATGTTTGTTGAATTTTGTTTATGTGCTGTTGAGGGCATAATTTTACTTATATGATAATATTGTACCAAATACAGGGAGGTTCCCCTTCCAAAGATGGAAGTCAACAGTTCCTTCCACGTAGCAATCCTTGAAGAAGTGGAAGCCTCTGTCGTCACAAAGTGTGTCTTGGAAGCCGATGAATCTGCAGCAGTAGAATGCAGCCCAGTTTCCGTTGGCCTTTTAGTCTTTGAACAGTCTGGCCTTGGCGAAGAATTCTGAATCAAGAATTATATGTCGAATTCAAGAAATCATGAAGTGAATAAAAAATAACTCAATCAATTATTTATGCATGGTATATAAGCATGTAATGCATTACTTAACAATTATAATGCGATTAACAGACATGAAGTAATCAGGCAAGGCGATAAGGGTAGCACTTTCAAATTTTCCCATCTCTGCTGCAGTATCATCAAACATAATTCTCGGCTGTCTTCCCAGGTTCTCCGAACAACGTAATGAACGGCTTGTTTCTGTCAATACAGACTTTCTCACTGTAATACAGACTTTCCTGCAGGTATGCTCTTGATGGCTTCATTTATGGTCTTCAAATCTCCACAACATCCTTTTTAACCTTGATAATTGTAGGCTCAACCTCTGCTTCTGCCAGGACAGGGTCTAAGGCGCCTTTTCTATCCGCAGCAGGCTTTACATTCTCATTAAACCAGCTCTCTATTTTGCCCTTTTCTGCCGAGATTGTTGTTGATTCGTTCGGTCTAACAATTGTAGAAACCATTATAATCATCAAAAGGGTGGCTCCATAGCCATAGTTTTTGGGATGTAGAGTTGCCTGAAAACATGAGAGGCTTAGAGTGATTCTTGGGAAACTTGAATTTGGGATTTAGACTGATATCTTTTGTTATTTAATTAACTCCTGAGCCTACTCCATTTTTGTTTTCCAGTAAATACAACCTAATGGAGAACAACAGTATAAGATATAATATAATACTTGGTCCAAAAAGAAAAAATAATAATATAATTATTCCAAGGTACTAGTGTAAATTATAATCAACAAAAGGGTTATTTCATGAATAAAAAATATATACTACAGTTTTAGAACTAAACTAACTAACTCGATCATAATGTATATACATCATAAATTTTCTGTAAATACTAAAATTATATAATTTTGATAAAAATTAATAAAAATATAAGTATTTGAATATTTAATAGTGTTTGAAAAAAATTCAGATCGTAATAATAATTTTAAAATTCTAAATCTTTATTTTTATTTTTTTGTTAATCTTTTTGATTGATTACTATCTTTTATATTATAGTTCTACATGTCTAATCTATACGTATATAAAAATTATTGTCTAATACGATATTATTGTCTGGTACATTACTTTAAACTGAGACCAGAAGAAAGTAATTAGTATGTGATTATATGAACAAGTCAAAGGAAAACAAAAGGAAAGAAACACCTTAGTAAATGTAGGAAAATTGGAAAGTGTAACAGTTCTTCATGCCTAAAAGTAGAAGCCAGAAGAAAACTGAGGAACCACAAAAACATCAGTCTAAATCCCACATGCAAGTTTTCCAAGAATCACTCTGAGCCTCTCATGTTTTCAGGCAACTCTACCTCCCCAAAAACTATAAGAGATGTGGGTATACCCTCTCTTGCTCACATAATCAATCAATTCATCAAGCAGCTAAGAAATATAAACATGGGGATTTCAACAAGATCCAGACACAACCATGGCTTTGAAGCCACCCTTTTGATAATTGTAATGATTGCCACAATCATTAGACCGAACGAATCAACAACGATCCCGGCAGAAAAGGGCAAAATAGAGAGCTGGTTTAATGAGAATGTAAAGCCTGCCTCGAATAGAAAAGGCACCTTAGACCCTGTCCTGGCAGAAGCAGAAGTTGAGCCTACCATTATCAAGGTTAAAAAAGATGGTAGTGGAGATTTCAAGACCATAAATGAAGCCATCAAGAGCATACCTGCAGGAAACAAGAAGAGGGTAATCGTTTGGATTGGAAGCGGTGACTATAGTGAGAAAGTCTGTATCGATCGAAACAAGCCATTCATTACTTTGTTTGGAGAACCTGGGAAGACGCCAAGGATTATGTTTGATGATACCGCAGCAGAGACGGGAACATTTGAAAGTGCTACCCTTATTGCCTTGCCTGATTATTTCATGGCTGTTAATCTCATTATAATCGTAAGTAATGTATTACATACTAGATACTATATATAAATAATTGATTGAGTTATTTTTTCTCCACTACATGATTTCTTAAACTCGACATATAATGGTTGATTCAGAATTCTTCGCCAAGGCCGGACTATTCAAAAACTAAAGGGCCACAAGCTCTTGCAACGAGGATCGACGGAAACTGGGCTGCATTCTACAGCTGCAGATTCATCGGCTTCCAAGACACACTGTGTGACGACAGAGGCTTCCACTTCTTCAAGGATTGCTACGTGGAAGGAACTGTTGATTTCATCTTTGGAAGGGGCACCTCCCTGTATTTGGTACAATATTATCATATAAGTAAAATTATACCCTCAACAGCACATAAACAAAATTCAACAAACATATATATGAACATGGATACAATATTATTATGATATAAATATGTAGTAAATTGTATATGTGAATTGAATGATACAGAATACAGAAATCCACGTGGTTGATGATAAGGGATTAAGGGTGATAACAGCACAAGGAAGGAACAGTGCGTCGGATTCCACTGGATATTCGTTCGTGCACTGTAAAATTACAGGGTCAGGAACAGGGATATACCTGGGCAGGGCTTGGATGGCCGCTCCTAAGGTGGTCTACATCTACACCGACATGGGCCCCGTCGTCCATCCTGAAGGATGGAGCACTAATTTCAAACCTGAAAGAGAGGAGTATATCACTACAATCAATATTCTCTTTTTGATTAAAAATTGTTTCAGAAATCTAAACTGAATAATATATACAATGTGATATTGCAGTACTGTTTTCTATGGAGAATATAAGTGCACAGGACCTGGAGCTAGTACTGAAGGTCGCGTTGACTACACCAAGCAACTAACCAATGCTGATGCTCAAGTTTTCTTGGCTCTGGATTATATTCAGGGAACCAAATGGCTTCTACCTCCCCCAAAAGTATAGATTCGTTTTGATGATCATCTCCATCCAACTCCAATTTTTGTCTTTTATTTCTTTGAGTGTAAAACTCTATTAGCTGGATTTAACCCAGATCGATTGATCAGGCTTGATCAAAAAGCCGAAACATAGGCAAGGCAAATAATTATATGCCTCTGAGATGAACTGCTTAGGCAACTACTTACAGTGTACTTAGATGGGTATATTTTACATTTTAGATATTTTCAATAATATTTTTGAATTTGGGATCTGAATTTCCATCTTCATCTTTTTGAAATGCTGTGGGGAAACTGGCGACAGCAGAGGTAGAAAAATATTGTAAACATCAACTGTGTTAAGATCCATCTACTAGGTAATAAAAAAGGCCTTCTTGGAGCAATCTCAAATGACCAACTTTCATTCTGCCATGACTCTTATGCTCAGGAAAAGCACACCAAAAGCTCAAAGCTAGACAATCCTTATTCTCCGCACACCCTCAAGAATCATAACACAAGTGCATTACAAAGAAAATAAATAAATGGATGGGAACAAATCCATAAATATCACAAACATTAAGTCTTAATTAGGAATTAACAGAGAGCATACGTAGATTAGGAAGGTGAAAATCATGTAAAGTAGCTTCTGATCCTCTTGATTTCATGAGAAGATTGAAACTCGTTCCATGTTCAAACAAAACTCTGTATTTCATTGACCTTTTCTTATGCTGAGTTTAGCCAATTCTAATAAATCAGGATCATAACCAAACAAAATTTAGATCAAGCAAACAAAGCAGTCATCGCTTTTGTTGATCTCAAAAGAACATTCACAGATTAAAAGTTTGAAAGACTTTACCACTCGAAGCCCAGATTCCACAAGTGAAGACTTTCTCCTGCTCGGCCTCTGTTCTTTACTCTCCTTCTGAATCTAAGGTTCCCCGAATTTTTCTCAATAAAAGGTTCCCATTTCCTCAATCGTTCCAAAAACCTGGCAACACTTTCCCCTAAACCCTAATTCAAAAACCTTTCTCCTCTCCTTCGTTCTGCATTCCCCCAATCCAAAAACCCCGTCTGCTCACACAAACCTTCGAAAACCAATGCCTGCCTCCTCTATCTTCCCAAACTGCCTTTCTCTACTCCCTCTTTCTTGTAATCTCAGTCTCTTTCCCTCAATCTCACCCCAAACTTATCTCCTTTCCCTCGGCTTGCTCCCTCTAATATGCTCTTCTCTCTTTTTTCTTCTATTTTTTTCACTCTGCCAACGGATCTTCCACTTTCCAAATCGCCAAACACCTCCTCTTATAGATTCTGTTCTCTCCTTCTCTTGGCCCGTTCCAACTCCCATTTTGGGCCTTTCCCCAGCAGATTTCGCGCGCCAGCACCTCCATTTCTGTTCCGCTCTCTTCTGTCTTCTTCTTCTTTCACGTCAAACTTCCGAGCAGCAACTCTTCTCTGATCTTTCTCTTCCCGCGTCACCTTCTCCTCTGTCTCTTTTCTCTGTTTTCCCGCCTCTCTTTTTGTCCCGCTCGTCTGCGTGCTTCGGTCGATTAGCAGCCGAATGAGTGTAAGGCTAAAACGGCACCGTTGTTGTTTCAGGGGAAACGGTTTTCGGGTTTGGTAACGGACTTTGGGTCCGAATATATTTGGGCTTTAAAAACATTTAAGGATGGATAACAAAAACTTTAGGCCCAATTATATATAATGATAATAATAAATTTTAATATTTTTAAAAGTAATTTAAAATAAATATTTAATTCATTGTATATGTTAATCCTGAATTCTTAGGGTTTTTATTTTAACAATAAGTTCATGGGCGCAGTGTCAAACCGAAATACCCAACAAAGATTAGCTCTCTAATACGACTACCGTGTTACGACTTCACTCCAATCACTAGCCTTGCCTTCAGTATCTCCCTTCTTGGGGTTAAGGTAATAACTTCAGGCATGACCAACTCGTATAGTGTCATGGGCAGTGTGTAGCAAGTTCGAGAAAAAATTTACCATCGTATGACTGACCGTCGATTACTAGTAATTCTGATTTCGTACAGGCGAGTTGCAGCCTGCAATCGGAATTGAGGACGAATTTTTGGAGTTAGCTCACCCTTACAGGATTGCGAGTTAGCAAATGATGACAATGCACGGATTCAATGTAGATTGCAAAAACTTTGTTGTTCCATTTTAGAGAGAGTTAAGAAAAAGAAAGTAAAAAAGAAATTTCGAGACCTGATAGCTCTGAGACCATTTATTTGACAACGTAGTTTGAATTAATCTTGTAATTTTTTTTTACTAGAAATTTTTACGTTTCTAATAGGTAATACATAAACATAAATGATAATATAAAAATAAATAGTATTTAAATAAGAATAAATAGAAATACAACTGAATTTAAACTTAAGTAGCAGTTAATCTTATATTAACTGTAAGTAATATAAATAATTAACTTCAGAGCAAAAAAAAATTTATTAACTTGGAAGAAATAGTACAAATTATTCGAGAGAAGATTTACACCAGAACAAAAATTAAACTTTTGGGGGAGGTAGCAGCCATTTGGATGCCTGGATATATTCAAGAGTCAAGAAGGTTCTTGCTTCAGCATCAGTTAATTGCTTCGTGTACTTAACCCTGCCGACATGACTAGCTCCAGCTCCCGTACACTTGTATTCTCCGTAGAAAACAGTACTGCACATCAAAAGATTAACTCTGAAATTAATTTTATGTTCTTTCTTCTGTAATTTATTATAAATTTGAGTCAGAACTGTGTATTCGTATTCTAAGAGAAGATTATAGAGACGAAGAATTGATTACTGTGCACGTTCGGGTCTAAAGTTATGGCTCCATCCTTCGGGATGAACCACATTACTCATGTCAGTGTAGGCATAGACAACCTTTGGAGCAGCTCTCCATGCCCTTCCTAAGTATATTCCTGTTCCTTTCCCTGTTATTCTACAGTGAGCGAACAAATATCCGGTGGATTCCTTGGCACTGTTTCTTCCTTGAGCAGTTATCACCCTCAATCCATTCGTCTCGACAACGTGAATTTCTGTATTCTGCATCGTTCATTAACATAATATTTATATAAAGATTTTAACTAATAAACCACTGTATTAATATATTAATAGTGATAATTAGTTTCGTTCTAATAATATTGTAGTACTTACCAAATATAAGGAGGTTCCTCTTCCGAAAATGAAATCAACAGTTCCTTCGACGTAACAATCCTTGAAGAAGTGGGAGCCTCTATCGTCGCATAACGTATCCTGGAAGCCAATGAATCTGCAGTTATAGAACGCAGCCCAGTTTCCATCAATCCGCATTGCAAGAGCTTGTGGCCCTTTAGTCTTTTTATAGTCAGGCATTGGCGCCGAATTCTGGACCAAGAAATTAACCATTGTAATTAGGAAGACGACGTTATCGAATTTAGGAATTGTGCTGGGACAAAATTAGAGTTACTTACGACAATAACGAGATTAACAGCCATGAAGTAATCAGGCAGGGCTATGAGGGTGGCACTGTCAAAGGTTCCACGTTTTTCTGCGGTGTCATCAAACAGAATCCTTGTCAGTTTGCCAGGTTCTCCATACAAGGTAATGAATGGTTTGTTTCTATCGACACAGACTTTCTCGTGGTAATCTCCACTTCCGATCCAAATAATTACTCGTTTCTTGTTTGCTAACGGCACACTCTTGATCGCTGCATTTATGGTCTTGAAATCTCCAGCCCCATCTTTTCTGACTCTTATGATGGTCGGTTCAACCTCTGCTTCCGCCAGGAGAGGGTCTAAGGTGCCTTTTCGCTGCGAGGCAGGCTTGACATTCTCCTTGAACCAGCTCTCTAATTTTTTCCCATCAGAAGGGATTGGTGAGCGCGATGTAACGACTGTGGCAGTCGTTAAAATTGCCAAAATAATGGCTTTAAAGCCATAATTGGATCTGGATCTTGTTGAGTTACTCATATTAATTTTACTAGTAGTTAAACTAATTGATTTAGAGAGCAAGAGGGTATTTGCTTGTACTATATATAGGTCTTCGATATGGAATTGCCAGGTCGTGACACGAGAGACTTAGAATGATTCTCGCAAAATTTGCTCTTCGATTTTAACTGATTCTTTTCATTCTGCGATTCCTCCATTCTTTTTTCTTCTGACTTCTATGTTTAGGTATGAAGTTTTCTTGACATTTCACTTTCTGTTTTTAGCAGGTCTCCTCCTGATAATCAGTTAACGGTAGGATTCATGTCATCATCACCTTATAATTCTACATACGGTAAGAAGTCATATGTAGCATTCTTTTTAAATCAAAATTTATAATTAAATGAATAAGTTTTTAAGCCTAAATATAAAATTAAAAGAGACCTAAAGGGTAAGAAAGTACTCTCCAAACCCACGACCTTATAATACAGTAGTGTATAAGCAACATTTTATGATAACAGAGATATATATATATATATTAATATATATGAATGTAACAATGTGACATGAAGCCAGCTGAAGACCGGAAAACTACAGACCCTATAATTTTTCAAACTGGGAGTTTTGGTCTGCAGAAGTACATTAAAGTTTATATAACTTTCCAGGATGGGATAAGTGTATCACAAATATGAACTAGGTACATTTTGCTGCATAGTGGGAAGGTGATACAACAAAGATGGAATTCGAAACCCATTAATCTTCGTCGTGATTAATGTTCTTTCGTTTCAGAATAGCCGATTAACGCGAAAATCCGTATAATTAAATTAATTACTTCCATAAGCATCAATATGTATTTTTTTGGACCTTCTCTGGTGAATTCAGTCGGTATTAATTTGGCTACCGATGCTTCAAGCTTCTCTTCTTCTTGATTCTGCTTCAGTTCTCAACTTTTCTGGTTTTTTTGGGTCTTATAAAGTCATCTAGGCTTTATTTAGTCATGCTGTAATTCATCCTACATCTGAACTGAATTCTTTCGGGTTAAAGAATCTCTTCTTGTTGCCTGGTGAGACCGCGAGCACCGGTTTGGCAATTTAACAGTAATGACCCATTTCTCTGCTCAATTGAAGAAAGTTTCAAATTCTTTCAACTATTATCAGACAATCATGAAAAATAGTTAACTGTTCTATCATATTTTTTTACAAAAGAAAAAAGAAGGGCGTGGACCATGGTCCAAGAAATATCACATGAATATATATATATATATACATAAGATTGACTTATTACTAGGCATGTGAAAAATAGAATTCATACTTGCTAAATGTAGAATCCAATAGGAGGAACCGCAAAATTAGTATAAATCTCTTATCAAATTCTGCAAGAATTAATCTCAGCCTCTCATATCAAGAGCCAAATCTTTCTCTCCGGTCCCTATAAATGATCTGGGATTAGCCTCTCTTGCTCACCCATCAGGTAGAAACATGGGAATTTCAACAAGGTCGAGACACAATTATGGCTATAAAGTCATTATTCTGACAATTTTAGTGATTGCTACGATTGTTAGACCAAACGAATCGACACAAATCCCGGCCAATAAAAACCAAGTGGAGAGCTGGTTCCATGAGAATGTGAAGCCTGCTGCGGCGAGAAAAGGCACCTTAGACCCCGTCCTAGCAGAAGCAGAAGCTGGAGCTACTATCATCAAGGTGAAAAAAGATGGAAGTGGAAATTTCAAGAGGATAAATGATGCTATCAAGAGCGTACCATCCGGGAACAAGAAGAGGGTAATTATATGGATTGGAGCTGGAGATTACTTTGAGAAAGTCATCATTGATAAAACCAAACAATTCATTACCTTATATGGAGAACCTGGAAAGACACCAAGAATCATGTGGGATGATACAGCAGCTGAACTTGGAACGTTTGGAAGTGCTACGCTTATCGCCTTACCGGATTATTTCATGGCTGTTAATCTTATCATAGTGGTGAGTAATGAATTCCGCACATATCTTGCTGTTCTTTTGTTGGGAAAATAAATTTTCAATACGCACACAATAACATAAAATAAAAATCAAAATACGAAAAACTATAAAATTTTACGTGGTTTGACAGGTACAACTACATCGGTGGCAAGAGTGATAAAAAACTTTCTATTATGCTAAAAATTGATATTATATTATCAATAAGCTCGTAAACCTTTATATAAACAAAGTAATAGGATTTTTCCTTAAAACATTCTTAGAATATGCACATAAATATTTTCAAAATCAAGCTACGTAAACGAATTTTATATAATAACACATTGTTTCTTGATTCAGAATTCTTCACCAAGGCCTGATTATAAGAAAACGAAAGGGCCACAGGCGCTTGCGATGAGAATCGATGGGAACAAGGCTGCATTCTACAACTGCAGATTCATTGGCTTCCAAGACACATTGTGTGATGATAGAGGCTTCCATTTCTTCAAGGATTGCTACGTTGAAGGAACTGTTGATTTCATTTTTGGAAGAGGAACCTCCTTATATTTGGTACGATATAATATCCTCACCATACATATATAATGATTAGATTACATGCAAACACGTACATTTATCATATGGTTAAGATTACATATATATATATGTAACAATGCCGTTTGGGTTGATTGAATGATTCAGAATTCAGAAATGCACGTGGTTGATGATAAGGGATTAAGGGTAATAACAGCGCAAGGAAGGAACAGTCCAACAGATACCAGTGGATATTCGTTCGTGCACTGTAAAATTACAGGGTCGGGAACAGGAATATACTTGGGCAGGGCTTGGATGGCGGCTCCGAAGGTGGTCTATGCCTACACCGAGATGGGCAATGTCGTCAATCCAGAAGGATGGAGCAATAATTTCCAACCCGAACGCTCAAAGTAATCATTTTTCCGTGTACTTTTTATTCATACTATATATTTATGGGGGATTCAATCAATTCTTCTTCATTTGTACAAAAGGGTGAACATTAATCTGAAGTATACGTAACATTGCAGGACTGTTTTCTATGGCGAATACAAGTGCACAGGACCTGGTGCGAGTACCGATCATCGGGTTAAGTACACCAAGAAATTAACTGATGCAGAAGCTCAAAAATTCTTGGTTCTTGACTATATTCAGGGATCTCAATGGCTTCTGCCTCCCCCAAAAGTGTAAACCAGTCTATTAAAGTTTATATCTGAATTTGTTGATTTTTAAGGTTAAACCCATAAATTAGAAGTAATAAATATGGGTTTGAGCCAAACTGCTCAGGCCATTGTATGTACTAGAAAGTGTACTTGATAATTTAATGTTGGTTTTTCATTCTTTCAGACAGGGAGTAAACTCAACAAAAACGTCCATTAAAGTTAATATAATAAGATGAACATGCCGAATAAACCATCAACTAAGAAGCAAGCATCAGACGGTAAAAAATAAAAGGATTTAAAGACTAAGACCAGCAGCTAAACATTCTAGCACACCCACATGTAGTATATAACAGCCCAGATTCAAGCAATCCATGTGGTACTGTAAGGTACAACTGTTAAAATACAATGTAATAAGTTTGTTAGGCTTAAACCAGTTATCTTGTAGTTAACTCAGAGCTTCAGATTCTACATATTAACAGGTAACCAGACAAATCTGGAAAAGGAATGAATAAAAAATGGCACTTAAAGCGCCGGGAAAAGCCTGAATTGCCAGGACAGGACGGGAGCAGCACTTCCCTGTCTCTGCCTCTTTAATTTGCTCTGTTTCTACCTTTTCTTTCTGTAGTCTAACTCCAATACTATTTTTCTATTTACTTCAAACTCTATCTTAATAATTTTTAGGACTTGAATTAAGACTAATTATAGGTTTTATTCATGATATAATGTTTAATTGATTCCTAATTACTGCTGTCCCAATTGATTAAATTTCAGTAAAAATAAACTGGCATTTCTGATAAGCTTAAACTCTTGGGATAATCAATGACGATTATTAATTTTTTCCAAGAAAAAATTATTTCTTAGTGAGTATATTGATATACAGAGACGAAGATCATTCTTTTTTGCAGAAATACATATAGACAGTGTTCTTGTTAGGTAGGGTAGTTGGATCATAATTTTTAAGCACCAGCTCATAAATATTTCTCCTTCAGGCGTTTGGGAACTCTATAAAAGGGCGCTACCATGTTAACAATAGTGCACCATCAAACACTGAACTGGCTATCAGTTTCCAACAAAAAAAATGGCCGGTAAAGCTCGAGGTATTCTCTTTTCCCTCCTAGTCCTAACCCTAATCGAATCCTCTCGTGCCGGTTCCGGCATTGGTACCTACTGGGGGCAAAACACTTTTGAGGGAAGCTTGAATGATGCATGTTCTAGTGGCTTGTATTCCTATGTTAACATAGCTTTTCTTAACACATTTGGTAGCGCTCAAGTTCCTCAACTCAACCTAGGAGGTCACTGTGATCCAAGATACGGTCAGTGCGTAGGGCTTACGACAGACATTCTTAATTGTCAAAAACTAGGAATCAAGGTGATGCTTTCTCTTGGCGGTCCTACTGGTACATATACTCTAACTTCCACGGAGGATGCCAAAAACCTCGCAATTTATTTATGGAACAACTTCCTGGGTGGACAGTCGGCTACTCGCCCTTTCGGTACTGCGGTGTTGGATGGTATTGATTTCGATATAGACCTAGGTTCGAATCAATATTACAGCGATCTTGCAAGGTTTCTAGCAGATTATAGCAAACAAGGGACAAAGGTGTATTTATCAGCGACGCCTCGTTGTACATTTCCCGACAGTTATATGGGAACTGCGATTTCAACCGGCCTTTTTGATTTTATCTGGATCAAGTTTTACAACAATCCTGCATGTGAGTATGCTGTTGGTAATATCCAAAGCCTTACCAGTGCCTGGACCAAGTGGACTTCATCGGTACCTTCAAGCACTATGTTTTTAGAATTACCGGCATCAGCTGATGCAGCGACGAGTGGTTTCATTCCCACAGATATTTTGATTAATCAAATTTTTCCCCACGTAAAGACGTCTCCCAACTATGGAGGAATAATGATTTGGTCAAGGTACTATGATAGTTTAAGTGGATATAGCAAGAGCGTCAAAGGAGATGTACCTCAGCAAATCGAGCTCAAGTCTTCTTTGGAAGACGAAGGCCGATCTTGCTCCTCTGCCTAGTGTGTTGTTCGGCACGTTTTACTTTTTCGATCATCGACTTCTATGTCTGCTCAAATAATGTAGCTCAAATAAAAAAGACATGCTAAATAAGAAATCTTCTTTTCACAGTAAACGATTTCGTTGTAATGTCATTTTTTTTTTCATATTTCAGTTGATTATTACATGTTTCTTTTTAGTCTTTTCTTTATTCTCGAAGAATTCCGAACACATATATTTAACTAAGTAATCAAACCATTGTCTTCGTACGCTGCGATCAAACACAGAATCAAACTCTCGCTTTACTCTTAAATCGGGAGAAAGTAATCAGTAAGTTCAGACTCGTCATACTAATTATTCTCTTACCTGCAACTCCCTCACCTCTTCTCTGTTTTTCTCCATCATCCCTTGGCTCGTATTCGATTTTCGTTAAGCTAACTTCGGAGAACTGCCTGCTTCGTAATCATCCTTGCTTACCAAAAATGTTAGCTTGCTCAAGATTTAACCAAAATTATACAACACAAATTTATCCATCCCGAAGCCTACTTCGAAGAACTACCTGCTTCGTAATCATTCTTTTGATGTTTCGATTTGTTTGCTTAGTTTACCATATTGCATCATGTGTTAACATGTATAAATCCCTTGCACTGGAGGAAAAAACAGGGCAAGGAAAACTATTCGAGCTGCTTGCGTACCCCAAGTGAAGTATGGAGTCAAACATAGTTCATTATTTGTTTGTAGTTAAACAAGCTTGTCTATAAATAGCATATCTAACTATTTCAGTGTTTGTAATTAATTTTTTCTTTGTAATTCTAATCGATAGGGCCTCGATTTAGATATGCAATTGAGATGTTATATAACAATATTGTGTACACACGTATATGTGTATATATGTTGTTCATCAATATTGTGTATACGTATCGATGTTAAGTACTATAACCATGCTCCGCCTAATTGTATCCCTCATTCTTTCTCCTTCTACCTACTCTTCATGCATTTGCATGACGATTCGGGGGCATGACTCATGTTAAAAGCTTGAATTGGGTTTGCTTTTCTGTATGATTTAACTACCATAGATATACATATGGATACATATATACATATATGTGTACATACATATGTATTTTACATCTCTCACGTAAGTAACTCATTCTAATTAGCAATATGGTCCTGAAAATAAATCTTAACTAATTATCTATAGTGAAAAACGTGAATTGGCTGTATATTTCCTTTATATTTTTTACGAAGTTCCATTAAGTATATTTTTTTTAGTAGATTATATATTCTTATTGTGTGTATATGTTATTAATTAAAAAAATGTAATTAAACTATTGGGCCCCAATTCCTATATGTGTGTGTATATATGGAATACTTATAAAAAAAGTGTATATATACAACTGATCTGAAATCAGTCTACACCAACAAATTAAAAAATGGCAACCACCAGTAAACTTCAATTAGCCATCCTCCTGCTCCTTGATCTATTATATCTATCACTAACTGAAATCTCCCATGATCAGACACCTCCTGGCATAGCCATTTACTGGGGCCAAAAACTAAATGAAGGAACCCTAACAGACACCTGTTCCACGGGCTTATATTCCTACGTTAACATCGCCTTCCTCCAAAACTTCGGCAACAGCAGAACCCCCGAACTTAACCTGGCAGCTGGGTTGCCGGCAGACATTAGCACCCACATCAAGAATTGCCAAGAACTCGGAATCAAGGTCTTGCTGTCGATCGGCGGTTCTTCCAGCGCCTATTCTTTAACATCTATGGCCGATGCCAAAAACTTTTCAGATTATTTATGGAACAACTTCTTGGGTGGCCTTACAGTTTCCCGACCCTTCGGAAATATCATATTGGAAGGTATTGATTTTTACGTAGAGCAAGGTTCTGATCAGTATTATGATGATCTTGCTAGGTTTTTATCGGAATATAGAAGTGAAGGAATTAAACGGGTATATCTATCTGCATCTCCTAACTGTCCATTTCCTGATAGTCATCTACGAGCTGCTCTGAACACAGGCCTTTTCGACTTTGTTTGGGTTAAGTTTTACGATAATCCATCATGTCAATATAGTTCTGCAAATAACAATCTTATTTCTTCATGGAATCAATGGACTACATCGATAGTGGCAAAGAATATATTTCTGGGTTTACCAGCTTCTTCTTCAGCAGCCAAGAGTGGGTATATTCCGCCATCTGTTTTAACTTCTTTGATTCTTCCGGAGATAAAGAAGACGCCGAATTATGGAGGAGTGATGCTTTGGGAAAGATATGAAGATATTTTGAATGAATATAGTCAGGCCATTAGAAAACATGTTAAGCAGGAAGAAAAGAATGGAGATCTTCTATTTACTATATAGGTAGATATAGATATGCGTGTTAGGATTTTCTAGCTTCTAACTTCAAGTATGTGTCATGTAAAATAAGGCACAGAGATTGAATAAAGAATCTTACATCTGCCAATTTTCCTATATGTATTCTTCCACATGATGGCTTCATTTTTTTTCTTCCTCCGCGTGATCTAAACAGTAATAGGAAAGATCATATTCTAGCTACCGATACTGTGGGAACTCATGTTTATCAGAAATTTTAAACTTCCAAGTGTTTTTGATCACGAAATTTGTGGAAGTTTTGGCGTGGTTAATTAATAAAAGCTCATTTAATCTAAAAGAAAAGTTTGTCTAATCTTTTACTACAGTGTCAATTATTACATCCATATATGAGATTTACATATTATATATGATTATAATGGTGTAAATGGGTAATGGATTTTAAATACATTTTTGCAAAGCTTCTCTCTGCTACTCACTCCCTCTCTCCTCAAGCTTCTCTCCTCAGCACAGACGGTTTTTTTTCAGAAAACTGTAAGCTCATTTAATTTATTTACTCTGAAAGATTATTTCTTCCTTTCTTTAGAGAGAGAGAGATATATATATACTTTGAGTATCGCAAGATAATTAGATATTCAGATACACATAAAATATCTCCCAACGAAGAACAAAAAGCAAGTTTACAGAAGAAATACAGAAAGAATACAATGCAAAGCGAAGCAAATATCATTTCAAAAGAAAAAAAAAAAGGCGAAGCAAATACATGTGTATATATATATATATATATATATATATAGTACATGGAGGGATTTTATTATAATAACTCTCACATGAGGTCATTACAAACTTCACACAATCATGATATTTATTTAACGATATCACTTAGGCGGTGCATTAATAATCAGCGACAGATTTGATCAAGTTTGATCTCTTAACGCACTTAATAATATCTGAACTGATTTTGTCCCAATACCTTGACCAAATCATTACGCCGCCATAATGTAGTGATCTCCTTATATAAGGAAGAATTTCATAGCAAATCTGGGCGGGAGTAGCATACCCACTTACTGGAGCTTCGGGAGATCCTGGTAATCCCACGAAGATATATCGGGCATTTATATACCAGGTCCATGTAATCCATGATGCAATAAGGTTTTGACTATTCGAACTATACTGACACGACGGATTGTTGTAAAACTGAATCCAAACATAGTCGAACAAGCCTGTATTAAGTGCAGTTCCAATGTTCAAATCTGGGAAGGGACACTGTGGAGCCGCCGATAGATACACTTTTTGTTCCGGTGTACTATATTCATGCAGATGCCTCGCAAGATCGGCAAGATATGAACTTTGCCGCTCAATGTAGAAATCAACGCCGTCTAATACAGCATCTCCGAATAGACGGTCGGGAGCAGATCCACCCAAGAAATTATTGTAAATATAATCTGCGAGGTATATAGCATCATCGGGGTCCGTGAGGAACTGGATACCACCAAATGGTCCACCAATGGAGATTAAGACCTTGACTCCTAGGTTTTGGCAAGTGGTGATCTCTGGGCCGATGAACTTGCAATTGTCAAGGGACGGAGTACAGTGACCGGCCAGGTTGACGGAAGGGGGTTGGTAGCCACCGTACTCAAAGATGAAGGCTATGATGACATAGGAATAGAGGCCGCTAGTGCAAGCCTGTGTTAGGGTTCCCTCACGACCGTCTTGACCCCAGTAGACGGCTATGCCAGGTGTTTCGCCATGGCAGGTTTGGAATAATGCTAGGAGAGGAAGAAGAAGAAGAAGAAGAGTGGCTACAAGTTTAGTGTTAATTGCCATTTTGCTTTGATTAACTTATTGGGTTTTCATCAACTTCTTTGTTGGCTATTTATAGATATGAATCATCCATATAATATATACTTCAAAAAAACATGTGAATCATTCTATATAATATATATTTAAAAAATATACTCTATTAATAAAGTGGTAACAGATAACGTATAATATTTGAATTCGGACTTAATTTATTAAAAAAGTTTTTAATTTTTTTAATCGTCAAAACATTTTAAATGTACATAAAAAAAACAAAAACAAAACGAGAATCATTTCATAGAATTGCATGCATTCGCTTGTTATTCATATATAATTTTTTAATAAAAATTTATATATTTTAATAATTAATTGAGATTTATACAATAACAAATAATACAATTAATTTTTTAAAAAATAAAACAATACCATCAAATTTTTAAAGAGACAAATATAAATTCACAAATTAAACCGTTTATCTCAAACCCGTATTCTCATAAAAAAGAATGAAAACACAACTTCGATTAGCTACATATGTAACATTTTAAAAGTTATACAAATCCATATAATAGTTCAAATATATAATATTCTAAATTCATCACGTGTTTGTAATAGATTTCAAAGTGAAATATCTTATCTATTATAATTTTTACACATGTCTAGATTTTTTTAAAAAAATTATTACCTCAATAATGGTGGTTTCAAAAAGTATATTTAAAGAAGGAAAATTCTTAATTTACTCAAGTAATAATAATAAATAATTATCACGTTAATTTTACTCATAAATAAAGATTTACTCGACCCGTACTTCAAGTAAGATAAATTTTTTTAACCTAGTTACATAAAATTATTTATATTTTCTCCATGCAAATCTCATGATTGTTTAAAAAATAATAAAAATAAATAAATTATCATTTCGGCACGTGACATTGGTCCACGATCGCGGCCGTCCATTTTGTCAACTCTCATACATTGCACCAACTTCCAAACCCTTTCTTTATTTTTCCTAGATTTATATAATTTTCTATCTTTAATTCTTTATTTTTGAAATAATTCTTGAGATTAGAGAATTGTAAGTTTTTGTAGCTCAATAACTCTTGATTGGTATAATTTTAAGATTTTTCAAATATGATTTATCGTTAATTTTGATATGGTATCAATTTTTTATTATTTTATAAAAAAAATTGATATTTTTTTAATAAAATTAATTAAAAATTGATATAAATTTCATATTATTCGGAACGCAGCGTAATTAGTATCAAATTAAATGACGCCACATGTTAACTATGGTGATATATGACAAATATGTTGATGGCAATAACAAAAAATTATCAAATACGGACTAATGGGAATAACTTTAAAAAAAATTATATGAAGAGTAAATCGAATAAAATAAAATAATTGTGAGAACTTCTTATAGGAACGAGAACTTCTTGCAAATTTAGTACTTGGAAATTCATCTCTTTTTTAAATCTAATTTAAATCGTGCAATCTATATTGCAATAAACAACGGTGAAATATCAATTACTAACAGATTGTTTAGGTTATAAACTATTATCTTTTTTTACATCTTAAATATAAATTTACACTGTGAGAATTTTGGAATTGAGATTGTTAGAGTATGTCCATGTAATAAATATTGCATATTTATGAGTTTTTTTTACATTTTTATTTTTTTTATTGAAATTACATCAAATTACTAGATACCATATGTTAACTCTAGTAACACGTAATAAAATGCGTTAACGGTGATAATAACAACTATTGCGAACACGTTTTAAAAGTAGAGGAACCAAAAAAACGAAAAAAAAATTGTATAAAGATTAAATCGAATAAAATGAAGTAATAAAAACCTTTATTTTTATTTGCAATACCAAATAATATCTAAATGATGATTTTTACACAAATATTTTGGAATATCATGAACTTACTACAGTTTCAGATACCTAAAAACCATCTCTCTCTCTCTCTCTCTCAAATCTTATCCAAATCATGTAACTTAATATATATATATATATAGAGATCTGTGATACGTAGAGATGACAGTCTAAAATGTTCATTATTTTTAATTTAAATCTGAATATGAGGAACTGTTAATCAAAGTCACAAGCTATATAGAATTCCTTTTGGGAGGTAATATCCTTTCTCACTGGTTCTGACAGGACATTTGGCTGTCGCATTAGGGACACATGACCACTGGGGAAGCAAGAAGAAATGGAAATGAACCAGTCCTCAACATGATTTCACCTTGACAAGACGAAGAAGATGACTTAGGAATGGTGAAATAGTGAGAATATGAAGGGAAGAAGAGAGACGCAAAGGCGACGATCTGAATTGACCTTTCACTGCACTCTAGAATTACGACTTCATATTTTTTTTTAAATGTATATATATGTATATATAGTATATATGTACGTACGTAAGTATACAGGACATGGGAATCAAAGTACTAATATATGGAGGGATCTTATTATGGTAAATTTCCCCATGAGGGTCATTACAAACTTCATATTATCACGATAGTTAAGCATTATCTCATGATGCTTAATTTTATTTAACAATATTACTCAGGTGGTGGATTAATACTCAGCGACAGATTTGATCAGGCTTGATCCCTTCACGCAGTTAATAATATCTGGACTGATTTTGTCCCAATACCTTGACCAAATCATTACGCCGCCATACTTTGGTGATTTCTTTATTTCAGGAAGAATTTCGTTGCAAATCTGGGTGGGGGTAGCAAACCCACTTCCTGCAGCTTGAGGAGATCCTGGTAATCCCACGAAGAAATATCGTGCATTTATATTCGACGTCCATACATTCCATGATGCAATAAGATTTTTACTATTCCCATTATATTGACATGGAGGATTGTTGTAAAACTGAATCCAAACATAGTCGAACAGTCCTGTGTTAAGTGCAGCTCCAATGTTTGCATCAGGGAAGGGACACTGTGGAGCCGCCGATAGATACACCTTTCGTTGCGGTGTACTATATTCATGCAGGTACCTAGCAAGATCGTCAAGATATGAACTTGGCGACTCCATGTCGAAATCAACGCCATCTATTATAGCATCTCCGAACAGACGGTCGGGAGCGGATCCACCCAAGAAATTATTGTAAATATAATCGGCGAGATATTTCGCATCACCAACATCGGTGAGGGAATGGCGCTGACCACTTGCTCCACCAATGGAGATTAAGACCTTGATTCCTAGGTTTTGGCAAGTGGTGATCTCTGGGCCGATGAACTTGCAATTGTTGATGGACGGAGTGCAGTGACCGGCAAGGTTGACGGAAGGGGGTTGGTGGCCACCGTACTCGAAAATGAAAGCTATGATGATATAGGAATAGAGGCCGCTATTACAAGCCTGTGCTAGGGTTCCTTCGCGACCGTCTTGACCCCAGTAGACGGCTATGCCAGGTGATTCGCCATGGCAGGTTTGGAATAATGCTAGGAGAGGAAGAAGAAGAAGAAGAGTGGCTGTAGGTTTAATGTTAATTGCCATTTTGTTTTGGTTTTGTTTGTTGGGTTTTCATCAACTTCTCCGCTAGCTATTTATAGATGTGAATCATATGTTCAAACCACGTACTCTGTTCATGTCCTGCCAGTATTTGATGTATAATTTTCTAAATAATAATATAAAATTTTGTAAGCAAACATATATGAATTACAAACTTTCAAAACAAAAAAAATATTCTAATAGTTAACGTAAATCCATGAAACAGTTCCAATCCATTTATTATTTTGACACGTGGCGCGAACCCAATTGATCCTTGTTGATCTTCACTTTCTTAATTCTCCTACCTACATTTGCACCAGCCCCTCATCTTTAGTTTCTTATTTTTCTGTGAAAAATAGCAAAAAAAAATTAAGAAATTAAAATTATACTCATGCCCGAGTCACCACGTTCGGAGTATGTGTATCAAACTTAAACTATTTAGAAAGAGATTCTTTCGACCCACTAAAAAATATCTCGTGGGAGTAATTTGCTCTATCAAATTACGATAAAATTTTTAAATTTTCTAGTACTTTGAAGTAGTACCAATAACGAAAGAGTTGTAAGAGATGTTATCGTTCTTATCACTTTTGAAGAGGGTTTCATTTTCTTCGTCCGAATAATCCAACCAATAGTCGAAAAGATTATCATTCAGCTACCGATACGATGAGTATTTACGTTTATGCTAAGATTACTTTAGTCATTTTTGTTTTAGACACCAAACTATTAGATTTCATAATCCTCAATTTTGTTTCCAAATTAAATATCAATTATGATCTTATATTACTGTTAAAATATAGATAGTCAGAGTTGATTAAAATAAATTATTATACATAGGATCAAATACTCAGAAATTATTCAGAAATTTTTAGATGCCAAGATATATATATATATTCCTGTATAATGACAAATATATAATAAATAAATTATATCGTATGTTAATTCTGATGATACATAATAAATAAATTAACGGAGATAACAAAAACTAATAAATATGGGTAAATACGAATAGTTTTTAAAAGTACAAGGACCAAACGAAGAAAAAAAAATTGTATAAAAAACAAAATTAAATAAAGCAAAAAGTGTAGATACCAAAAAATATGTAAGTCTTTATTCTTATTAGCAATGTTAAATCATATCTAAAATGAGAGTTTTCAAATATATATATATATATATAGATAGTATAATGTACGTAAGTAAGTATATGGGACATGGGAATCAAAGTACTAATATATTATATGTAAGTAATACATGGAGGGGTCTTATGATAGTAAATTTCCCCATGAGATCACTACAAACTTCATATGATCGTGATAATTAATCTGATGATGCTTAATTTTATTTCACATTATTACTCAGGTGGTGCATTAATACTCAGCGACAGATTTGATCAGGCTTGATTCCTTCATGCAGTTAATGATCTCGGGACTGATTTTGTAACCAAATCATTACGCCGCCATACTTTGCTGATTTCTTTATCTCAGGAAGAATTTCTTTGCAAATCTGGGTGGAGTTAGCATACCCACTTCCTGCAGCTTGCGGAGATCCTGGTAATCCCACGAAGAAATATCGAGCATTTATCGACGAGGTCCATTTCTTCCATGCTGCAATAAGATTTTGACTATCCCCATTATATTGACATGGAGGATTGTTGTAAAACTGAATCCAAACGTAGTCTAACAAGCCTGTATTAAGTGCAGCTCCAATGTTCGCATCCGGGAAGATGCGCTGTGGAGCCGCCGATAGATACGCCTTTCGTTGTGGTGTACTATATACGTGCAGGTACTTAGCAAGATCGTCAAGATATGAACTTGGCGACTCCAAGTCGAAATCAACGCCGTCTAACGCAGCATCTCCGAACAGACGGTTTGGAGCGTATCCGCCCAAGAAATTATTGTAAATATAATCTGCGAGATATTTGGCATCAGTAGAGTCCGTGAGGGATTGGCGACGACCATATGCTCCCCCAATGGATATTAAGACCTTGATTCCTAGGTTCTGGCAAGTGGTGATCTCTGGGCCGATGAATTTGCAGCCGTTGTCAGCTGGGTTGCGGTGACCGGCAAGGTTGACGGAAGGGAGTTGGCAACCACCGTACTCGTAAATGAATGCTACGATGATAGAGGAATAGAGGCCGCTGTTACAAGCCGTCGTTAGGGTTCCTTCACGAGCGTCTTGGCCCCAGTAGACATCTATGCCGGGTCATTCGCCATGGGAGGTTTGGAAGAATGCTAGGAGAGGAAGAGGAAGAAGAAGAAGAAGAAGAAGAAGAGTGGTTTTCATCAGCTTCTTTGCTGGGTATTTATAGATGCGAACCATTTCATATCATATATATTTAATATACTATATTTTTTCATTATATAAATTATAATAATCAAATTATATTAAATTTTAATTAATTTATTATATTTTTAGGTAAAAAAAATATTTTATAACTGTGAAAAATCAATTTAATTTTTTTATCAAAAGAAAAAGGAAAAAAATGTGTTACACAATAAGTGGATTCAAATACACTCTTCCCTCCCTATTCTCTCTTATTAGAACGAGGCTGTTTTTCGTGTATTTTTACCTTGTTAGAAATGCTTTTACTGTTTTTTCTTAGTTTATATAATTTTCATCGTTCATTGATTATTTTTATAAAAATTTGTGACGCCCTGATGCCAGCTTGACACTCACGTCGAAAATAACAGATAAAATTATATTAATAATTGAATCCAAACATAGTCGAACAGCCCTGTGTTAAGTGCAGCTCCAATGTTTGCATCAGGGAAGGGACACTGTGGAGCCGCCGATAGATACACCTTTCGTTGCGGTGTACTATGTTCATGCAGGTACCTAGCAAGATCGTCAAGATATGAACTTCGCGACTCCATGTCGAAATCAACGCCGTCCAATACAGCATCTCCGAACAGACGGTCGGAGGCGGATCCACCCAAGAAATTATTGTAAATATAATCGGCGAGATATTTAGCATCGCCAGCATCGGCGAGGGACTGACGCTGACCGTTTGCTCCACCAATGGAGATTAAGACCTTGATTCCTAGGTTTTGGCAAGCAGTGATCTCCGGGCCAATGAACTTGCAGTTGTTGATGGACGGAGTGCAGTGACCGGCAAGGTTAACATTAGGGGGTTGGTAGCTGCCGTACTCGTAAATGAAAGCTATGATGATATAGGAATAGAGGCCGCTGGTACAAGCCTGTGTTAGGGTTCCTTCGCGACCGTCTTGACCCCAGTAGACGGCTATGCCAGGTGATTCGCCATGGCAGGTTTGGAAGAAAGCTAGTAGAGGAAGAAGAAGAAGAAGAAGAAAAAGAGTGGTCGTAAGTCTAAAAGTATTTGCCATTTTGTTTTGATTTATTTCTTGGGTTTCCATCAACTTCTTTGTTGGGTATTTATAGACGCGAATCATTCCTTATGATGTATAATTAAAGCACGTGCTTTTTATAATTCTTTATAAAAATATAGTCTAATATTTTATTTATTAAAAAACAAAATAAATAAAAGACTTCTATTTTTTTGGCATGCATATTAATAAAAATTTAAAATTTATAAAATAATAATATAATTAATTTTTAATAATAAAATAATACAATATCACTTCTCTAATTAATAAATAATTATATTTAAAATATTTTTAAAAAATTAGATAAATTTACAAAATAATTCTAATTTATCACGTTAATTATCATGATTTTGACACGTGGCGTGGGCCCCCCATTTGTCCTTGTCGATCTCGATCATTCACTTTCTTAATTCTCCTACGTACATTGCGCCAGCTCCCATGTATGTCTTCATTCTTTTTCTAGGTTCATACAAATATTTTATTTATCTTTAATTGATTATTTGTACGAAAAATAGTAAGTAAATACATACATACATATATGTATATATGTATGTATATCAAGAAATTAAAGTTATACCATTTCAAATAAAATATCATTCAATTTCGGTTTATCCTTATCCCGACGAGCCTACTAACAATCACATATTATAAATCAACATGTGACGAGCATCTATACGAAGCTTGGACCATTCTCTCCCAACTCATGTGAGTTATCTCAAGAGATCAATATGTTCCGTCTAATTACGATAAGTGTCTCGAGCTTCTTGATACTTTAAGATAATATTAATAATAAAAGAGTTTGAAGAAATGTTATCGGTTTCAGCACTTTCGACAAAAACTTCCTTTTCCTTCTTCGAGACAACCCAAACAGTAGTTTAAAAGATTATATTTTCAACTACTTATGCCACGAGTAGTCAATAATTTTTTTACTTTCAACACTCGCACTCGACTTAAAAATACTGTCACATGGAGGAAATGCTTTATTTACTCAAGTAATAATAATAATAATAATAATAATAATAAATAATTATCATGTTAATTTTACCCATAAATAAAGTATTACTCGACTGTACTTTCACGTAACGTAATTTATTAATTTAGTTAGAGATTAATTTAAGAGATTTATATCTTTAAATTCTTTTTTTTTTAATAAAAGAATAGTATAAACTAAAGTTAAAAACAACGATTAAACAATCTATTAAGATAAATTTTAGCCTATAATCTCGTTTTTTCAAGTTCTATTTAACTATGAAAGCGTACTTGTGTAATGAATTTTACCTTTATTCTTTTAAAAAAATATATATATACCAACTATGATACATATTATTATACATATTATCCGATATTCAGAAATTTTTTTTTTAATAATAAATTAAATGCCAAGATATTTATATTCATATATCAAGACAAATATATACATATATATATATATATATATTCTTTACATTACCAATGTTTATCTTTACTGTTAATGTTAAATCATACTTAAATTGAGAGTTTTAAAATAAATTTTTTACAGGGGTACGAAATTCTATAATTAAATAATATTATTGTTATATAAAATCATAATTTCGGGGGTACGCTGGAATAATTTTGTGGTATTCAAGTAAGAGCTTATTACAACAATCAAGCATGTCCGCACTATACTAGGTTAGGTCCACGTCTATACATATACATCTACATACGTACGTGACAAATGGACGAATATATATATATATATATATAAGCTACGTAAATCTATAAAACAGTTCCAAATTATCACGTTTTTTAAAAGACTTAATAGTGACATGTGCTAGCCATTATTATTTGGGCACGCGACACGGGTCCGGTCCAATTTGTCCGTCCATCTCCACCGTCCACTTTGTTCATTCTCATTAATTGCACCGACTTCCCAAAACTCTCTCTTTATTTTATTAGGTTTACATAATTTTCTATATTTAATTCGTTATTTTTGTGAAAAAATAAATAAACTGACTAAAAAATAAATATTATTCTATTTCGGATAAGATTTTTTATTTTTTTGGTGGCATTTTACGTGATAATAATTTGTAAATAAGTAATATAATATTTCAAACACAGTCTAGTTAGTGAATTTATTCAAATCTTAACTATATAGAATGAAAATACAATAAATAAAATAAGAACTTATGTAAAGATTATATTTTAATTTTTAAATAAAAAATTAAAATATAAGCATGAAACAATAATATAATAAATATCATCCTTGTTACTACAGTGTAAGCATAGTTCAGTCCAACACAACTAAAATGCGTACTGATAAAATATGACTGTAGTTTCTGAACCGTGGCCGAGCTCAGTTTTTCTCAGCCGAGGATATTCCCGTCTGCCTGGTACCACAAATTAGAGCAAATTTGATTTCAATCAAGCAAAGAAGCTTACAATCATATTGATCTCACTAAACCCGGTAAATGCTCTTTTTGGACATTTATAAGAAGCTTTTTCCCTACCAAGTTTCTAATAAAACTTACTGGGAAGCTATTAATCCTTAAAACAAG